TTTTGGATGAAAAATGACATGACTTGAACCTAAACAAATGAACACACATTGTATATCAGTTTACAGTCTATATACATATTTACTATTATAGGCTGTTGTTTTCGCAGCGCTTTGATGAACAATCACAGAAATACATGACTGAAATATGATAAAATGAATTACCAATTTCCCATTAAAAGATGAAAACACAATGCATGATATATCTGAATAGACTACAGCATGCCAATATGTGTATGTATCCAGTTATATTTACATATATATATCTACTTTAATGTTACAGTCAATGTGAAGTCACATTTCATCTGAAATAAACAAAGATTCTAAACACACTAAAGTTATGGTATTACATCATGATAATTGGTTTTACAAGAAAAACCTCAAGTTTGAGAGGTACATAAACTACAATAGCTAATTATGATATTCATTAAAACTTCCCAGATTTATTATTGGTGAACTTGATGGGACAGATGAGACATTGATTTTGGTTCCCATTGGTGTATATGAAAATCAGATAGGTAATGAAAACCACAGGTTCATTCATGAAATCTGATAATATATTACCATGCTCATTGTTCCTTGCAACTAAGGCCATGTATGTAGTTAGAGAGTTGATACAACGGACTGATGAAATACAGTTTAATGCAAAGTTTATTTCATTCATTGATAGGTACATACTGTTTATTTTGTTTTTATACTGAAATTTTAATTGAAAAACATCCACTCTGCATCATATATATTATTGGATCAAACTTTGTAGCCAAAGATGAGAGGTCCATGACAATAGGTACGATTTGGTAGAAATTCCATATACAATATTATAAAGGTTTTCATTTATCCCAGCCAAAACTGGAATATTTCTCTTAATTAATAGAGCGCAACATCTTTGTTTTCAAAAATATAAAACTTTTCATCCACATGTAACAAGTTGCGCTGAATATTTGTTACAATATTTCTTATTGTTGGAGCTAACTCTTGATGTTAGTTGATTTTCAAAGTTATAAATTAGCATGTTCTTTTTCTGTGTTAAAAATAAACTTGAAAAAGAAGACAAAACTGTATAATCTGTCCTGTTTTTATAGCCATGTTAGAAATATTAATACACTATAAAAGCTAATGAATAAGTGTTTTTAGGAGTTCTACTTGAATATTTCTTTTCGTTTTACCAGATGTGTAGATAAATTGTTTTTGAACTCTGAAGAAGGGTTGCCAAATGATTGCATGTCATAATATGCATCTTGGCACAGTTATGGGGGTGTGGCTAGGATTGTTTATTATTTCTGCTGGATATTTTAGTACATAAAACACCTGTGTAGGTATATAGCCAAAGTGTATAGTTTTATGGCAAAATGTTTTGCGATGTCAAAGCATCAAGTGATTTTTGCACCTTCACAATAAAAAATAAGATAGGATCTTAACAACTTATAAATAGAATTAAGGTCTGCCTGTATTTCAGACTGACCACATACTAAAAGTTTACAGGTTTAGCTATCTATAGTTCATGTCTAGAGAAATGGATGTAATTTGAATTCTGCAGCGGTGATTCACCTTTTGACTTACCCCAGGCCATTCAGTGAGTGTTGGTACTGTCAGTCATTATCTCTACCTGTCTGTAGACATACAGATCCTGAATATTTCTCTCCCCGCTGATCTTTTCCCCTCCCGTTAGGATGTAGTGTTTTAACTTGAATGTGTAAGACGGTTAGTTTTTTATCACTACTTTATAAGATAGACACTACATACAAAACATTGTGAATAAAAATATGCACTGATATGATATTTTTACAATGTAGTATATATGGTAGTTAAGTTTCTGAAAAATAAGAAACAATACCAAAATGTGTTATCTTTCTCAATTGAACATAATCAGTTACATCATTTATATATTATCACAGATTTATCCAAATTGGATATAAATTGTTCCTATTGAAATAACACATTTGTTTCCTTGAATGTCTTTAACATATACCAGGTATCGATATCATTGATCAAAGTGTGTTTGAAACATTTCTTTGTCAACACCTAGTGGAGGACAATGGTATTGGCGTCACAGTAATTAGAGGTCATCTTGGGTTATTGTGTCCTGAGGATAAATATTTGGAGTTGTTAGCTCTAAGGGCCCATCTGGGTAGAGGAGTTGATTACACAGACAGCTGATTGATCCATATCAATATTTCTATGCGTAGCCATTTAGATTTTGTAGATTTTGGAAACATTCCATGGTTTTTTATAGCTGTAGTTTGTGTAAACTTGTTTAAACTATTGTTGGTTTTTTATGTTGGACTCATATAGTTGTAAACGAAAAATGAACAATTTCTGTACCGGAATCTCCATTTATTTTCAAACCTTGGAAATTAGTCAGATTTTCTCTGAATGTATTTAGATATCCTAAATTGAAGTCTAATTAACATTAATTAGGACTAAATTCTTAATTAAGTTGGAATCAGAGAAGGTTATAATGTGATAGAGTGATGGTTAAAACAGTAATTTCAATTTGATGATGTATTATGTTGATTAGCTTTTCATGAAGATTTACATCACAATGATTTTCTGGTGCTGTGCATTTAAAAATTTACTTAAACTAGCATATAAAAGTAGTGAGATTCAGAGCATGATTAAATGAGATTAATCTCTTATTGATAGTCATTTAGTTTATGTACTTTTTGATAATCAATTTATATTTTTAATGATTGTAAGCAATAACTGAAAAATGCTTCAGTGTGGCTTAAACTACCATGTACATGTATAAGCTTACTATTGTTTTTCACCCTGATAATTCGAGGGAGTGGGGAGGGGGAATTTATGCAGACCCAGCACCCTCATCATATATTTGTGTGGTATATATTTTTACTCTTGACATTTAGATTAAGTATGATGGCATCAAGATTTTTAAACCACGGCTATTATTTTTCAGCTGGTATTAAGAATGCTTAATACATTCATGTATGTATATATGTAACATAGTGATGCAATGGGGTTGATATGTAAAACTTTCATTATTAGGGATTGGTTGGGCCAAAATATATAAGCAAATGTAGGTATATATTCATAGATGTATGCATAACTACACATTACCTGGCCAGGTGTAATTAGTGCCACTTTTAAGTCTACCTGTTAATTATATGTCTACCATATACCTTTATAGTACAGTTGTTGTAGTACAAATCTGTATAGAAACATAAATGCTGATGTAAGAGCAGCTTATTCATCAGGATGTTACACATACTAATATTGCAGCAGTGCAGAAATTGCAGAATTATGATACCCATACTTACAATTATTATTGTAATTAAATTATTATCATGTAGATAGATAGATATACATTATGCATAGGTCACCAAAATGCCAATATGCCCTCATGCTATTTAGGCCTACAACATAGTGGTAAATACTTATATAATGATAATATAGAACATGTGGTAATATGGGAACGCCCTGAATATAACGCTAAATGAAATACAATGTTAATGATTTGTGATATTACAGAAGAAGCACTCATTTACTTGTTTCTAAGAAAATTATCCATGTTTGATAATGCTGAGATTTGGAGTGAAGATATATAACAGTGCCATTTGGTGGAGTGGCATGTTTTATAGGTCATCAGAAATAGGTCATTACACTGTTGACAGACTAATTGAAATTAGTAAAATAACTAAAGTTTCTAAAAGTCTATACATAATTACATAATTGGAAAACCAGTCTGAATAGAAATTTCTTTAATATGATGATTTTTTTTTTGTTGAATTAGTATTAAAATCTATATATGTTTTGCATTGTAATATATTTATTTCAATGTTCTTGTTAAAATCCCTCTTAAAAGAGAGACAATTGTATATAGCTACTTCATGTACATTCCTGAATAATTAAGCTTCTAATGTTATGTCACCATCTAAAATGTGACTTGCAAAGTAAGCTCTAATGGAAATATCTAAGTTAATAAAAAAAGAAACCAGATTGAAATTGTTAGAAAAAAAATAAAAAAGATATTTAAGATGTTGTTAGTGGCTACTACCCTTACTTTTCCTTGAACTGAAAAATGTAAGTGTGGTCTGGGACACTTGATTGGTGGAAAGCGATGCTGTAGATGTGGGTTTGGTCCCTTAACAGTCCAAGTATGTCACCTGGCTTGTCAATCACCTTGAAATCTCTTTGATGAATTTGACTTTAGAAAATAATGGTTTCTTTTGTTTTTTTTTTAAATTTTGAAGGAAAATGAAATATAAAAAATTCCTTGACACCAGTAGGAGCCCACATCTCTGTCTCTCACAGCTACAAGTAAAACAAGAAAATTTCTTCCTTGTAGTGTTTCCAGTGGGGACTGATTATTATGTTAACATATGCCATCTCGTACATGCCTTGTATATACTTCACAGCAAGTGTTGATTAAAATGGCAATTTATTTCAGATTATACATAATTCACTTACTATGGGTATTTTTTAGCTGATGTGCATTTTACTGTAATACCAACTGCACTCTCCTAACCTCTACTGTGTATGTGGTTTTGAGTGTAAAGACAACATAGAAATGGTGAAAACATTTTCCTAGTAATTGTGAATTTACATTAGAGTACTAAATTTACACTAGGCCACTCTTTGATCAGAATTTCCATGTTAATCAAATAAAACACTTTCTGAAACCAATTAAAATTAAGCCACTGTTCATCTGTTGGGAAATGTTTTTAACTGCCGTGATTGCAGCCTGACACCTAAGAAAATATCAAATTGAGTCAGTTACTGTGAATATATTAACAAAAAAGTTCTCATTGAAGAATAATGAAAATGTTAACTATTTGTTACTGGACTTCTCAAGACAATTCATTATAATGACCAGATTGAAATGTTGAATTGTCCAATAATGATAATAAATATACATGTTATAACTTTTTGCACTTTCTCTGTAGGTTCTCTTGAGATCTTAGTGATGATATATTTTGTATGCTATTTGAACCAAAAAATTGATTGTGTTGTGTCTCTATAGCTTGGCTTCACTTTGTCTGTTACAGGGAAAAACACTTTACAAGGTTCGATGGAGAGGGTATGGAGCTACTGATGACACCTGGGAACCCATTGAAAATCTACAGTCATGTCTAGACCTCATTGAGGAGTATCAGAAGAAGAGAGATGAACAGCGGTTAAAACGAGCAAATGAAAGAAAGAAAAGAAAGGTATACATATGATCTTTTAATGTATACCTAAAGAACAAGTTTGACTATTCTTTGGCAATGTGCTCATCACCCCCAATGTCTGTCAGGTTTCAGCTTTTTCTTTAAACAATTCTTGAGAAGTACAAAGATGCTTAGGATCATGATGTTGTGCCAGTAGTTTGCTGGGATCTATGGTTGTTCAAAGGATTACTTGACCTACCTTCAAAGTTGTGTAGGTGATTTTTTTGAAAATCTGGAAAGGACTTCTTTATAACCAGAAATTGAATCCACTTTGGTCTGTTGCTTTCTTGGATGAGACTGTCCTTTGACTCACTCATCCTTGAAGAACTTGGGTTGGTAGTTAGAGAAATGTTTTACTGTTATCGGGGATAGGGAGGGGGAGGGGAACCCCAACAGTATATATTTTACATTCTGTTTGGTCAAAGTTGTAAATCATAGTCATTCACATGTTTTAGTGGTGGGGAGGTGGAGTGAATAAGCAGTGAAAGTTTATATGACAAAGGAATGAAAAACACTAAATACACTGTATACAAGCTCCAGATTTTGTTATGTTGAAATAAATGACTCCTAGTCAAAATATCATAAATTCTTAAGTAATTTCTGTAAAGAAATACAGTTTTCTAGGTATAATGTGAAAAAAATTCTAATATTGTGATACAGGATATGATGGAGGGGCGTATCCTTGTGGAGCCAGACAGTTCTCGTGAGGGTTCTCCAGCACAAGTCCCAACCACGCTGAAGGACACCTTTTGGAAGGACCTTGAAGAAGGCCGCCTTAACCTCTTTGCCACAGATATGTACTCACGTGTGAAAGGTGGAGGTAGAGCTCCAAAATCACCAAAAGAGGATGATGATGAAGAGGAGGAGAAAACTCAACGAAAACGAGGGAAGAAGAAAAATTCTTCAAGAAACATCAGAGAAAGGGACAAAGGTAGACGAAGAAGCCAGCTGAGACCCAAGAAACATTCCTCTAAAAGTTCCCTGGTCAGTGTTGTGACAGATTCCGAGTCAGACTCCTCATGCAGTGATATTGAAAATATCAGCAGAGACTCAGTACCTATAACTTTCAATGTCAGTGAAGAACCGGTGCAGACTGATATGTGCAATGGAGAGAAAAATGAAGTTCTCACAGTAAATGTAAGTCGGGCCAAAATGAAAAATGATTTTTATTGTTATAAAGAAAAAATAAAAGACAAAATTAGAGATTAGCTGTGAAGGAAATGGTTTCTGGTTTCTGGTGTTACTATTAAAAAGATCAGTGATTTTTAATGATTTACCCTTTTGTTTACAGTATTATCTATAATTTGATATTCCATTTCTGTTTTTGTAGTCCACAGAAAAGAGAGAAAATGAGCTGGTAGCTTCCACAGAAGGTATGTATATAGCCAAGCTCTGACTATTAATATAATCTGATTTCATTATTTGGTGTTCTTGCTACATGAATTATCATTACTAGTGTGGTACACTGAACATTATACAGATAAGATTATTGTCTTTTCTTTCTCATATGTATGACTGATAAAAATAATTACCTTAGCCTGCTCCTAATCTAGAGTTCTACTTCTTATCTATCTTTAATGGGAAGGTAAGTTTGGTCAAGGTCAAACTTCTTCATGACTGACATGCCACATATACAGTACTCTAAGGCCATGTCAAGCACCCACAAACGAAGCTATCTGTAGCATTATGAGTATTTAGAATGAAAATGAAATCATATTGTATTTGTTGATTATGTATGTATATTTGAAGAGATTGTGTTTTTTAAATACATGATAAAAAAAACACAGTTTTTATGCCATTTTTCCTGCACATAACAGCTATTTAAATGTTTATACTGGACATTTGTTTTGAGAGTAATGTTAATGGTTCTATTTTACAATGTTACAGAAGGGAAGAACAAGAAGTCCAAGAAACCTAAGCTAAGTGCTTCCTCCTCAGGTTTGAAAGACAAATCTAACACAGAGAAAAGAGACTCTTTTACCAGTGTGAAAGTCAAACCTGTGACCTCAAAAGACAGCAAGGAGACAGGGTCATCCAAAACCCCTAAAATTGACACATTAAAACGGGAGGCCATGATTGATAAACCGTCTAGTCCTATAAAGTCCTATTTGTCAGGAGGCAGTACGCCACCTAGGAAAATGTCTGTGGAATCTCCGAGTGAAAACCGGCAGCTACAGGCTCTTGCATCAAGTACCCCCAATGACACAGTGTCAAGGTCAGACAGACAAAGACTGTCAAATAATTCAGACAATAGTTATACCAGTAACATTGGACACAAGCGAAAACATAGTTCAGATTCAAGTAGTGCTAGACCCAATAAACAACGAAAAGATTCAGACTTCTCTGATAGTGGCATGGGTAGTTCTGTCAGTAGTGTTACTAGTCAAGACTCTGATAGAGGAGCTATATCAGGTGTGAAAAGGCGTGATTCTGTGGATTTCTCACAACCTTTAGACGATATTTGGAATGGATCATTTTTACCATTATTACCAGAAAGTACCAAATCAGAGGGTAGAGGTGAGTGGTGTTGTGAAAGTCAATGTTAAGAGATAACAGAGATGTCTTCCTGTCAAAGTAGATTTAGGGGACAACTACTGTAATTTTAAATTTGCAGTGATATGTAGTGAGTATACTATCACAAATTGCAGTGCATTAATCTTTCAGGATGTAGCAAATTTGTTCCTGAGGTCATTTTCATTGTCTGGATTATTGGTGTCTTTTACAATTGTCACCCAGGCTACATGATATACAAATAAGCTGAAATAAGACAGGATTGGATATGTGTTGTTTTCTTACAGTATACAGTCATTGTGTGAATATATCAAAACATTTGTTGTGAAAATTACAAAAAGTCCCTGTAATTTGGTGAATGATGTTATTTTTGACTGGCTGTCATTTTCAGGGGCTGACCTAAGCTTTGATATTGAACTTGATGATATAGACCTGGATGACCTGGATCAACAAAAGGTGGGTATTTTACTGCATGTTTGCAAAACTAAATCACTGGATGTCTAAATCTTGTTTGATATACTGTGTTAACTTATAACTGAATACTTTAACACTCTATGCTGAGACCATACTGTAAAGCTTAGAGATAATCTTAATCCTAAGTATTATTAAACAACTTGGAGATGAATGAAGAAACTGGCAGCGAAACATGTACCACTTATTGTTGTAGACAGTAAGTCTGCAGATAAACTTGACAGCAGCTTGGTATATCTTGTAAATTCAGTTATTTATACAATTCAGTTATATATACATATATGTATATATCTTAATGCAGGTATTTGGGTTTGACTAGGTGTTTAGCGTATATAATCCTTAAACAGAATACTGTATAAAAAGGTTTTCTTCTAGCAGCTCTTTAAATCTTTTTACACAGGGAAGTTATTTTGGCAAAATGTGGTGTAGTAAATGTTCATGAGTTGGAAAAACACTTCATAAATTGGTAATCACCTACTGATCAGATGAATATTACTAATTGGGTTTAGAAAAGTCCATTTGATATGAATGAGGTTGCCATGTGATATTAGATTTATTATTACATAGCTAATATACTTAAGTAAATAGGAAAGACCTTTAATCAGTTTTCCTGTACATATACAACAGGGGAATCTTTGGTAAGAGAGGATATTCCTCATTGCTTGGGACAATTGTGATGTCATTAAGACATTATAATAGTGTTATTTGTTACCTGTGTGATACAAAATCTATGACACAGATAAATATGTATGACATAACAGAACAGGGCAGCCATGTGATAGAATATAGGGGCTAGATTCAGCAGTGGTACAGAGTAAATAGATCAGGAATCCCAGCATTGGCCAATTGCCCAGAGCATTCATATTAATAATATCAGTTACTTAGTGCATATAGGTACAAATACAAGTGCATTGTACAATGTATAAAAGTCATACTTACTGTCAAAACAGTAAACATGTAGAACCTGGAAAACCTTAGGAGATATTCTTTAAAATTACAAACAACAAAAACTAAAAAACTTTATATTGTAGCTTTTTTGGATATCAAGTGATAATTACTGAAAAAAAAACTTTTTAAAAGATAAAGCTTAAAATCCTTTCGGTCTTTTGGAAGTAAGCTATTTAGATATTACATTAATATTACAAAAAAGGGAAAACTTCAAAAAACTTTAAGGACGCAAACTAGGGAGATATTCCCTTTCAACAAGACATGATATTTGTAAAAATTAAATTAATGACTCTTTAAATGTTGAAATTAGATTCCTACATTAAAATCTGCCTGTGTTAGTTTTGATAGGTTCATCAATAATTCACATGATTATTTCCTTGTTTACCCATTAACATAATAAAGCCATTATTTACTGATGTACAGAACAGTGTACAGGTGTGTTCTACTTCCTGCAGTGTGTGTATACAGTTGATGCCTGATATTGACATATAAACTGATTATATGTGGTCTGGCCCTCCCCTTTGGCCAAATTTGATTGGCTAGAATCAAAACAATAATTAGGATCCCAGTTATGACCTCACCATCTTATTAGAATTGTTCAGTCAAGCTCAAAAATAGATTACCTGTATCAATAAGGAAGAGTTGATTTAAGAAAATGTTTTAGTTGTACAATGTTTTATTTTGTATAACTGAACTTTACTGAATCCAATCACAATAGACTGGGTATTCTGGTAGATATATAGCTGACCAAGCAGTGCCAGTAGTCTGGTTACACTGGATTTTGTCAACATACCTGAAAGATGGGGAAAATCAATACAAACTCAGATTTAAGGCAGGTTTTGATACAGATTTTATCGCTATATCTATGTTAGTTGGTCGCCCTCAGCTGAATTGATATATCTATGGTTACATACAATTCATGTATATAGCCGCAACCTCTTAGATTCTATAACTTTGAATATGTAGGTCAGAGAGCAATGGCCAGCTTAAATTAGTATACAAAATCATGTACATAATACATATGTAGGTATACATGTATACAGGTCAGGGACCACTACACATGTATATATTGGAATAGAGTATACATACATAAGGGTCATACCACATTGTACTAGCCATGTCTAGAAGCAATCTACAGGTGAAGTAGTGTATATATGCAAGACTGCCTCCAACAGACCTGTGGTAGGAAAGGTTAGGCCTGGTCATCAACCTAGCTATAAATAGTAACAGATGTAGGTGATTAATATAGGTCAGTGGGACACCCCACAGTGATGGCACTGTTGGCTGTACAAGGTTACAGCTGTAGCTGTTATATTGGTGTAGTGTAAGTAAGTAACTGACAATGTTTAACTAAGTATTGATCACAGTGAACCCCTGTACCTTCATACTGGATAAGAGACTATCTTCAAAGAAAGAATAGGAAAGATGTCTACTTTATATATACTGGGAATGTTGAGACAAAGGATACCCTTGGCTGTTATTGTCTATAATGAGGGTTGGTGAATAATGAGACACCCTTGTATCTATGATAAGGAATGGAGAGAAATAGGTCCCCTCTATATATGATATGAGATGGTTAGAAATAGGTCTCCTTCGTCTATGTTAGGGATGGTGAGTGATAAGATACCCCTGTATTTAAGATGAGGGATGGTGAGAGGAAGGATACCCCTGTATTTATGATGAGGGATGGTGAGAGGGAGGATACCCCTGTATGTATGATGAGGGATGGTGTAATGTAGGATACCCCTGTATTTATGATGAGGGATGGTGAGAAATAGGATACCCTGTATTTAAGATGAGCAATGGTGCAATGTAGGATACCCCTGTATTTATGATGAGGGATGGTGAGAGGTAGGATACCCCAGTATTTATGGTGAGGGATAGGATACCCCTGTATTTATGATGAGGGATGGTGATAGGTAGGATACCTTTGTATTTATGATGTGGGATGGTGAGAGGTAGGATACCCCTGTATTTATGACGAGGGATGGTACAATGTAGGATACCCCTGTGTTGATGATGAGGGATGGTGAGAGGTAGGATACCCCTGTATTTATGATGAGAGATAGGATACCCCTGTATGTATGATGAGGGATGGTGTAATGTAGGATACCCCTGTATTTATGATGAGGGGTGGTGAGAGGGAGGATACCCCTGCATTTATGGTGAGGGATGGTGAGAGGTAGGATACCCCTGTATTTATGAGAGATAGGATACCCCTGTATTTATGATGAGGGATGGTGAGAGGTAGGATACCCCTGTATGTATGTTGAGGGATGGTGTAATGTAGGATACCCCTGTATTTATGATAAGGGATGGTTAGGGATATAATACCCCTGTACCTATACAAGGTTTGGTGAGGGATAAGATTCCCTTGTATAAATGATGAGGGATGGTGAGGGATAAGATAACCTTGTATTTATGATGAGGTATGGTGAGAGGTAGGATACCCCTGTATGTATGATGAGGAATGGTGAGAGGTAGGATACCCCTGTATGTATGATGAGGAATGGTGAGAGGTAGGATACCCCTGTATTTATGATGAGAGATAGGATACCCCTGTATTTATGATGAGGGATGGTGAGAGGTAGGATACCCCTGTATGTATGTTGAGGGATGGTGTAATGTAGGATACCCCTGTATTTATGATAAGGGATGGTTAGGGATATAATACCCCTGTACCTATACAAGGTTTGGTGAGGGATAAGATTCCCTTGTATTAATGATGAGGGATGGTGAGGGATAAGATAATCTTGTATTTATGATGAGGTATGGTGAGAGGTAGGATACCCCTGTATGTATGATGAGGAATGGTGAGAGGTAGGATACCCCTGTATTTATGATTAGGGATGGTGAGGGATAGGATACCCCTGTATGTATGATGAGGGTTGGTGAGGGATAGGATACCCCTGTACCTATACGAGGGTTGGTGAGGAATAGGATATCCTTGTACCTATACGAGGGTTGGTGAGGAATAGGATATCCTTGTACCTATACGAGGGTTGGTGAGGGATAGGATACCCCTGTACCTGTACGAGCTTTGGTGAGGGATAGGATACCCCTGTACCTGTACGAGGGTTGGTGAGGGATAGGATACCCCTGTACCTGTCCGAGGTTTGGTGAGGAATAGGATATCCTTGTACCTATACGAGGGTTGGTGAGGGATATGATACCTCTGTACCTATACGAGGGTTGGTGAGGGATAGGATACCCCTGTACCTGTACAAGCTTTGGTGAGGGATAGGATACCCCTGTACCTGTACGAGGGTTGGTGAGGGATAGGATACCCTTGTACCTATACGAGGGTTGGTGAGGAATAGGATATCCTTGTACCTATACGAGGGTTGGTGAGGAATAGGATACCCCTGTACCTATACGAGGGTTGGTGAGGGATAAGATACCCCTGTACCTATACGAGGTTTGGTGAGGGATAGGATACCCCTGTACCTATACGAGGGTTGGTGAGGGATAGGATACCCCTGTACCTGTACGAGGTTTGGTGAGGAATAGGATATCCTTGTACCTATACGAGGGTTGGTGAGGAATAGGATACCCCTGTACCTATACGAGGGTTGGTGAGGGATAGGATACCCCTGTACCTATACGAGGTTTGGTGAGGGATAGGATACCCCTGTACCTATACGAGGGTTGGTGAGGGATAGGATACCCCTGTACCTGTACGAGGTTTGGTGAGGAATAGGATATCCTTGTACCTATACGAGGGTTGGTGAGGAATAGGATATCCTTGTACCTATACGAGGGTTGGTGAGGGATAGGATACCCCTGTACCTGTACGAGCTTTGGTGAGGGATAGGATACCCCTGTACCTATACAAGGGTTGGTGAGGGATAGGATACCCCTGTACCTGTACAAGCTTTGGTGAGGGATAGGATTCCCCTGTATTAATGATGAGGGATGGTGAGGGATAAGAAAACCTTGTATTTATGATGAGGGATGGTAAGAGATAATATACCCAATGTCAAGATAATGACAGCGAAAAAAAATGGATGATTATTAAATAGAAGAGTTCTTGTGAAGTTAGAAATATAAGAAGCATTTGTGTATATGTGTTATTCAGTGTGTTCTGTATGTAGATCAGAAGAAATCAATGGTGTTGCACTGATGGGATCAACTAGTACACACACTACTGAGAGCTCCACTATATATAAAGTAGGACAGTCCTTTAGAAATTCTCTGTCTCATGTAAATTACATGGAAAATTTCGTTAAAAACCCATGTGTATTGAATGTTTACAAAAATGGTCTTTTTAACTAGGACATACTCTTACATCACATTTTCTTTCTTTTCCTCAATATAAATTTGGTCACTTTGAGGTTGCATTTGATGATTTCTATAAAAAAAAAGAGAGACACTGGTTGATGTGGAAAGATAAAATCTTACTGCTCAGCATTGAAAGTGGTCCATTGACCTTGCTAAGCTTTGTTAGTGGTCAGTTGACCTTACTCTGCTTTGTATAAGCAGCTATTTGACCTATCCTACATTTCATGACTCAGCTGACATCACCGATCGGACATCGACTTTACAAGGTCTTTTCATATTGGACCAGTAGTGCATGTAAATGTCACAGACTACATGTGTATTGGAAATCAATCTCTGAACTATAGATCACACTCACATCATTAGATACAGAGGTCAGTGCACCAGTTATCAACAAGATTCTTTTTAACATTTCCTAGATAATTGACATGGCATTTGAGAAATTTTAAAGCATATGATTTAAAAAAAAAAAAAAAAAAGACTAAGATAAAAAAAGTTCCTCTCATTAGATCTGAGTAAAAAAATCAGTGCATCTGTATTATTATATTTGCTTACACAAATTTACAAATTTTTACCAAGAAGTTAATTTGAGTTTAGGAAATAAGATAAATCAACAAAACATTTTGACTATATTTGAAAAAATGGTGAAAAGAAGTGTTTTATTTTTGACTTTGACACAGAAAAGTATGGTTATAAAATTAAAGGTTATGGAAGACAACACATTCTAATACAAAAATGAATATGTAAAAAATTGTTTGATAGTCTCTCATTATATACCACTATTTCACATGTACTTAGGTAAGTGGAACTTATATAGATAATAACAGGAAAACAGGAAATTTTTCAATTTACCGCCGTTTTAGATTTTAAACATCAGACATTTTTATTAGTCCACAGTTGACAAGGCTGCACAAATTTATTCATGCTTGTCAAAACACTAATATCCTTTTCTGTTTTCATTTGAGATAATTTGTGTAAGTGAAATTAGTTATATAGTTAAATATGTTGAGTATCAAAGAAACGGTAGCAAAGATGTATGGAAACAACCATAGAATTATTCTGTTGTCACAAGGTAGAAAAGCGTTATTGTGTGATTCTTTTTACCAGAATTATAAAGCTATTATGTTGTGGCTAGGTACATTGTGATGTCGGAGTTAATCTCATTATCAAAGAAACAAAAATCTGGTGCACCATGACTTTTTATCACCATAAAAGCTAGTTCATTTTGAATGTGATGAAAAAGTGCCTTGTTGATCTATGTTCAGTAAGAGATGCAGTAAGAGATGCTGGCCTCCATGGACGGAGTGGACATTGACCCTGAGGCCCTTGTACCATTGGCCTCCAATGGTCATCTATATCCCAGTGCAATGACCAGCTGATGTATTGATTTGGAATACCATACACGTGTGTGTTCACACATGAACTTATTGGATTAGCTCTCTTTTGAAGTGCAAATATGAAATTGAGTTTACAGTTGGTCAAATTTTCTGCTGCTAAATTACACTGTAGAGATGATACAGTCTATTGAACATATATTGATCAATATCAATTTACAGATGCCTAAGTTGTATGGATGATTTATAATTAAAAAACCTTTTGAATATATTTGCTGCACACATATAACTTTTTAAATTACAGTCTGTAAAGATATTAACCATTGTGTAACTGTATGGTATAAATATTAAAGGTATAACTGTAGCTATATCTCATTTCAAACTGTTGCAGTTCCAGGCTGGAGACCTTTTATTAAGTTGGATAAGATATTCAGCTTGAATATTGACCCACCCGGTACTAAAATAAACCACACTAATGCCCATACAGCAGAATTAACCTGCCTTAATCTGTATGTAACATGACATACTACATTGATAGGGGATTTAATCACCTGGAGGCAAATTTTCTTAAAAAGAAATGACATTATATTTTCCTGTGTTTACACTAGCAGTTTAATGACTGTAATCTATGTTGAATTACATTGTTTAATACACCACAAAATTAAAGTGATGTTAACCTCGTTTCAATAACCACCTAATAAAGTGAAGTCCTGTTCCCTGGTTTTGTATGAATTATGCCAAGACTATGATGTCATAAATAACCCCTGTTGATCAGTAGATGGTTGCTAGTCATTTTTCAGCATGTATTTGATGTGCTTTGTTGAAAGGTTGATCTATATGCACTGTTGATTAGAATTGTGGGCTGGGAACAGATATTTGCCAGGTATTGATCGGTAGTAATTGTGTTGGGATTGAAGACTGTCACCAGCTACATCCATCTACCGGCTGTGATGACTGGCTGGTCCACTCCACTGCAAGAATCAGTGTTACATAATGCATGTGAATATAGCAGGACACCTGCTCATTAAATAGATATTGACTGACAAATAGATATGTATGTAGAAAGCAGGTCATCATGACAAGCTTTCAAAAGACCTAATGTTCAACTTGCTTATACCGTCATTCCATATTATGAAGTAGTACAATATAATCTTTGTATGCTGCCATTCATGTTTCATTCAATAACATATTCATTTCATTGATCACACACTGAATCTGCATTTAATTTGAAGTAGGCAAGAAAAAGTCTTAAACATTTAATGTAAGTACATGTAAATTAAACTTCAACTACATTTATTAATTTTCTCATTTACAGTTACAAAATTTTACATTATCTGCATTCAAGTTCAAACTTAAATGACTTGGAACCGAAAGCAGTTTAACGCTTCAGTGACTGTTCATTAGTCTGTATAACCCCAAGCTATGGTATATTTAGCCATTTTTCAATAAAACTTTCTAATACAATTTTGGTGTGAGGAGGAGATAGGTCTATTTAAGTGGAATTTGGAGTGTGCTTGAATTATGAAGGCATGTTCTTGTAACAGTGTTACATGTTGAAAAGTAATTTATACATATACAATGAATATAGGTTCTCTTGACAAGTTATAATAGGCATATGTAGGTGTTAGTGTTAAGATTGAAATACAAATTTGCTTGATGACTGGGAATACAACTTATTGATGGAATATGTTGTTTTTTTGGTCAAATTTAAATGTAAATTTGGTTGATATGTTGTGTAATTATTGGAATATGCAGGCATTGGTTGCAGATGTATGCTCCACACCTACACTGTATGCAGTGATCAGATACATAAATCAAGCCCAGTTGTCAAGCCAGTTGAAACTGCAACACACTTCTTACTGGTGATGAAAAGCTAAAACACTTACAAACCAAAGCAACATCAAAATTTGAATTGCAAAGCATTGATCATGATGGAGAGAGTTCTTTAAAACAAGAGCAGCCGACTGTATTATACTAAGATAGATGTATTCATGGCACCAGGCAAATGAAACTGGAGAAGAAGCCTTTGAGTCTGAAATCTATAAAGTTTACCCAGAAATCAATACTTCAGTGCAGGGCTTCCTCTTCTAAGACATGGAAGAAGCAAGAAAATGAATTTTCTTGGCTTCTAGCATACACATTTCTCAATTCAGTTGACACAATTTCCTTGTATTGTGGTTTATAATTCTGAAAGAGACAATCTTCTCTGATTAATGGCAGATGCTATTAAAGACAATAAATGGAAAGCAGTAAGTTTCTTAAGGCTGCTGAAAAAATTGTAATTTACATAAGTATGGTTTTGTCTACATCAAGGGGGAATGGGGGAATTCACTGTGGTGACTCTTACCAGACTCTCCTTAGTCAAAGATTAAAAAAGTAGAGACATTTCGGTTAAAAGATGGGGTTTTTTTTAGTATTGCAATGAAAACATAATGTGTGTGATGTATCATGATATTCATACTGTTCAGTAGTTTGAGAGCAGATGACGTTTATGTTCAATCATTTGGGGAGCAGCTGAGATTTGTTTACTGCAGGCACTGTCGCATATTGTCATTATTTCTTCAGTATCAAAGTAATGTAAAAATTTTGAAGTACTCCATCAATATTTGGTTTCCATTCTCTGTGTAGTCTGTAGTTATTTTTATCCTTTTATTTTAGTCTGACCTTAGTGACCCTTCACGTTCACCGTTCATTATCATAATAATATCAATTTCTATTTATATGAGGACCATATATACATCAAAATATACTGTTGAAGAGTATATTTTAGTGTTAATCTTATTTAAATGCTTTAAGCAGAAATCATTACACCAAAATATGATTGTTCTAATTAGGATTTCTAAATGTTATATTATTGTGAATTCATTATTGTCCTAATTTGCCAAAAAGTTCTTTTATCCTGTAAAAGTTAAGATGATCTTTATAATCCAGTTCTCATCTACACAGGCATTATCGTATGACCGAAATATTTAAAAAAAAATAAGTTTATGCAGAAATCTGTTGAAAGTTTATAGGAGAGGCCCATTTACTTGTTCTATGACTTTCTTTATGAGGCCTTTCTATGATTCATGTGTATATTGATGATGATTTAGAAAAAAAACTCAGTTGAATACTGTAAATGTTCTAAACTCATACCAATCACATTTTGATTAATTATTTCATTTTGGCAAATAAGCACAATGATGAGTTATCATATCCAGACTAATTGCAAATAAGCTGCAATAAGTGAGGATAATATATGACTAGTATTGAGACATCTAAGAGTGTACATATATTTCAAAGACACATGAAGGATAGCACCTTTCGATACATATTTAACATGACAACATGTTTGATATGTTTTTCAGACTGCTGATGATGGAGAAGATGTTGTGGACATAAGTGATGGTGAGTTCACACTTTTCTATTCTCTGGGGCTAAAAAGCATGTTATTCAGATGATGTCTTGATACCTTAATTTTGAAGTGTCATTTAGAGTTATCCCCCTTTCAGGATGTTTTTTTTTTGTTAAGATGGCAAAAGGTCAGGAGTGCCAAGTTTGTTGGTGCTCATTATTTAATTAGCATAGTGCATTGTTTAATTGGTCATACAGAGAAGGTCCTGGGAGATGAAAGCAAGGGTTACTTTTTAGCAATTTGAAGTCAATGTCAAAAATTATTATGTTAAAAACAAAGAATTAAAATGGAAAAAAAGGAGCAGTCAATTTCAATTCTTAGGGGCCTAGAGCCCCATGGCCAATCCCTGCTTATGGACAGAATAACACTATTACAAGTGCATTTTGAAATGCTTTCTATTATCTTTAGATAAAAATGAAATCCTGAAATAGAAATCCTAAAGAAGTATAATTCTTAAAATCTATTGACTTTCTTTCTGCAAAGAGGAATTCACTCAAATATGAAGCTGTGAATGCTTCATATTTGATCCAGATGTGATGATACAACCCCAGATAAACCTGTCAGCATGAAAAAGTTGCCAGTTTATCCTATATTGCTGTGATTACAAGGGCAATTTTAACAAAAAATAATAATGCAAGAGGTTACCGTTTGCTTGTGAAATCTTCAACATATTCTTTTAGAATTACAATTGGGATGACATACATTTTAATTTGTATGAATAATATGTAGCTCCTGTAGGTCCTGTGAATACAGTGTAATTTTTGTTTTTGCTTTTCAGAAAACTTTCGACAGGCTGTAATGGAAGGGGATTATTTGTTGGTCAAAAAAGCTCTGAGCAGCAAAAAGAAGTTTGATGTGGAATCTGTAGATGATTTGGGAATTACATTGCTGATGTATTCAGCTCAAAATGGTAAGGCGTTGTCACTCATAGATGAAAGTGTTTTGATGTCACATCCATTAAAATTGAGCAAATTAAAAAATAGGCATAAATTTTAATCCAATATCCCAGGAACATTTCTCTTTGAAACAGATTACTGGATACATAATTCTTGATTGAAAATGATAATTGTGGTCCTCCGAGATTTACACTATTGATTTTTAGAAATGATGGTTATTACGATTTGTTTTAATTTCATGTGATTATATTTCTTTAATTCATGGTGCTGTGCTTAATATTATTGAGTTACTGGTAATGTGTTTTATTTTAGGTAATGATGATATAGCGGAGCTGCTAGTTAACCACAAGGCAAACATCAATGCACAACAGCATAACGGCACTACATCCCTCATGCTGGCATGCGAACATGTAAGTCGTAACAATACACCCACCATGAATCAAATGTGTGTTAACACAAACATGGTACATTATAAATCCCAGAGCGGCCTTCTTTACAGGGAGTGATTTTGGGGTCTGAAGCTTGGATCACCTTCCTTACATTGTAAAATTTTTAAAGTTCCATCGAAAGGATGATGATCAATGTTTAGGTAGCCTGTGCAATACTATACACAACCCCAAAACAGAAAATTTTATCAGCAAACTGTCGTGGTGTGATTTTAAAGGAAAGTTATCATTATTAATATCGATTTATTGCAGTATCAGTATGATTGTTTCAGAATTTTTATAATTATGTTTTTCCTGTGTTTATTTGTCAAAATTCACATATTTATTACATAATTATTACAATATACAAAATTTCCAAGGAGAAAAATTGAAAAAAAAAAAAAAAACGTCTTCCAGCTATGTTTCTACTCTATTTCCTTTCTATCTCCTGGTCAGAAATGCTAAAAATCTCACTTTAAAAGCACTGCTATCTTAATGGTAGTTTATGATTTTGAGACTTGTAGATTATCACTTCAGTTACCATACCTGTTACTAAGAAAAATATGTTTCTGTGTATTTGATGTAAGATCCTATAAATCATAAAACAATTTGTTTGTATCTCCTGAAAAGATCATTTTACCCCATCAAACAGAAATATCTACATGTCTAGTCAGGATAAGATATCTCTATCTTGCTGGGTAAGGGATAATCGTCATGCACAGAACATAAATGCATGAGTAGGAAGTGACCTTTGGGGTTCATGCCATTTCTCATGATGTCATTTTAATGAAGTGTCAGAGTTTTTTGAGGTCATTGATGTCGGTAATATTCACTATCAAGGTTTATGCAAATGAGAAAATTTACTGACAACATACTGCGGTTATTAACTCACCTATTGATCTGATTAAATGCTTATGGGAAAATGGCGCAGAAAATGGATCCTTCCCGAATGTTAAGGTAGTGCAGATAGATATCTACCCCCTCAGAAAAGATTCCTTACTTTAATCCGTGGAAAAGTCTTCAGTTAGATCATCAACAATCTCCTCTATGATTTCTCAGTTGTGTTGTTAAGCTAGGGAAAGATCCTATTAATCCTGAAACTAAATCAATAATTATAACACATTTAGATTTATTTACAGTGTTTATAATTGCCTTAGTATCTCCTGAAAAATAATGTAAATTTAATTGATATTTATGATAGGTTTATATATATTTCATGTGTATCTAATTTAATTTGTTTATTAATTGTTGAATTTATCATCTCATTTTTAGGCTCACATATGCACAGTAGCATTACTAGTTGAGCTGGGAGCAAATGTTAATCTGCAGCAAACAACAGGTGAAACGGCACTAATGAAGGTATCTATTTCTGATCAGTGTCTGGAAAACAAAAACTTATTTTTAAGCAGCAAAACTATTGAATAAGTATTGTCTAATTTATGAGAATAGTAAAGAAATTATTTCATAATTCCTTTTTTGATAAATGTGCTGTGTGCTGAAAGTAATTCCAGTGATGTATGGATATATGCCGAGTCTGAATAATGGTATGAATAATAAATGACGTTTTATTTATTTCTTGTTTGTATAGTCACATTAATCGGAAGTAATGCTCATAAATGGTAATTAATTTTTCTAACAGTGTTTGATAGAAGTTATAAATCTTCTGTAGTTGGTAATATGTGTATTATTTGACATTAAAGGCGGTGAGGAGAGGCCATAAACAGATTGTGAAGTTTTTGTTGGAGCATGGTGCTAATTTCTCGGCTCAGAACAACTCAGGATTTACGGCGGTGACGTATGCCAAAATGATGAGACTGACCGAGATTGAGGACATCATTGTGGATTACATCTCCAGGTATAGAATTATGGATATACCTGTATAGGAAACATTGTATTTCATCTATTCACATAGTCTGTTCTTTGTGATATAGAAAAGGGAAAGATATTTGGAGCATCTGTCACAGAAAAATGGTTTAGGTTTTTCCCCTGAATGACATTGGGAGTGACGTCAATGTAGAAGTTTTATAATGCTTACATATGTCACTCCTGTCTGATTAGATGTCATCACTCTGCCATTTATGGACAAGGTGTTTTGATAGTGAAGATTGAGGATATCATGGATGGTTCAATATGTCAAGTTTCCGGGTTAAATTATCCCTGTTCATTAAAAAAAAAAAATTTTGAAAACCCAACTAAATCCATTACATTACTCCAGCAACACTGGATTGTGATGAAGCTATCTACTGAAGTGAAACGTTCTCTGAATTGATATCAAGTTATTTTAGCTATAAACGTGTTTAGCACTTAAGATTAAAGATTTGGTTCTGAAATATGATGACATTAATTGCAGTTTCTGTATCTCATGGATATAGTTATTATTTTAAATGTGCAAATTCATCCTTTGTGCTGTGTTCTATATTGATATTGATAATGTTTTCATCAAACATGGACCATTCTGGCCCGAATTTCTTTTAGGTCTTATTAATGTATATTTTTATTCACAGACTTACGAACGAGTTTGACAAACAAGTTGCCATCACATTAAACAGTACAGCCAAGATTATCAGTGCTCTGTTCCCACTCCAGTGCTTCCCACTGTCTGAGGGAGAAAAGTTCTCTGTCAACTTCAAACATGAACTACAGGCTAATACTCCAGGTAAATTATCAATAGCTTAAATCTGCGTTTCGGACTTCAACTCCTAACAATAAGTGTTTACAACTCTTGAAAAGTATTTATACTGGTTAGTTTTACATTTAACATATTGTCTATTTCAGTAAGTCTTAATGTCTATTTCAGTAAGTCTTAATGTCTATTTCAGTAAGTTTTAATGTTTGTATCAGTAAGTCTTAATGTCTGTATCAGTAAGTCTTAATGTCTGTATCAGTAAGTCTTGATGTCTGTATCAGAAGTCTTAATCTCTGTATCAGTAAGTCTAAATATATGTATCAGTAAGTCTTAATGTCTGTATCAGTAAATCTTGATGTCTGAATCAGTAAGTCTTAATGTCTGTATCAGTAAGTCTTAATGTCTGAATCAAAAAAATGTCATACATTGATATGTATTTAATGTCAACAATGCTTTTAGACCTTAAACATTTCTGCCAGTAGCATTAGATAACATTTTTCAATTTTAATTTGTATCTATATCCATATCTGCTAACGACACTTTTCAGATTTTATTTTGTACAAATTGTAAAATACAATTTTGTATGCCATGGATGCCCTATGGCATAAAATAGACCATTTTGGCACATTCATTGTACTTACATTTGATACTGTCATCTGATGTCTGTAATCACTGTTCCCTAGGTGTAGGATACCTACTTTTTGTGGCCCATGCTCGTATCACAGCCCAGGATATCCGCTGTAGGTTCTATGGTCCTTGTGCTGTACAGAATGTCTCACTCAACGGTGTCCAGCAGCCACCACTCACAGAGGTACGTAGTATCAAAAGGTACTCTACAATTCCTCACCATCAAATGGTTGGTGACATGCATTGCCCTGCCTATTAGAACATCCATGAATTTGATCAAGACTGCTTCTTTTTAATTGTGTTAAAATGCAGAGTTTTTTGTGTGGAGGTCTTTTTGTGTTTAACATTGATATTGCGAGTTAATTTGTTGAAAATGAAAACATTTAAAAAATTTTAGCCTAGACAAGGATTTGCCTTTACCTCTTGTTATCATGCATGGTGGTGGTAACATACCACATTTCAGGATTAGTCTGTAGTGAATTTATTTCTGAAAGAATAGAGTTCACCTTTATATCATGGTCATTGATGTGATATATTCTTTGTTTCTCTACCCAGGAAGCCAACTTTGTACTGTCCTGTTGTCCTTTACAACATGGGAGGAATGAAGTTATCATTAACACAGTACCAGCTCCTGGGTCAAAGGTTAGTTTTATAGAGGTCAAGGATCTCTTTCATGTGATTTACAATGAGTAGTAGAGAAACCTGTTGTTTATTATGTTGTGATCAATGTTAAATAAATAAAGACATTTTACATAGTTTGCAGATAAAAGATACAGATATGTCATGCTGTATACATACATGTGATACTGAAATCCAAATTCAAGAATATTAAAAGCCTAGTGTACTTATTTTTGTCCAATTACAGAAAATTTAGCTGGCCTCAACTTTGATATCTTTGAAGATTGGATTACAGGGTTATATATTGTTTTACTAATACTATTAGTAATGTAAAATCAGAAATACATTGTAATCAAATGAAATATTGTTAACTTGTGTATATTTTTTTACAGGCTAAACTTGTAGTGTGTGCATACAAAGCCCAGCTGATTGATACTTAGCTTTGTGTGGGAAGATTATCACAGACATAGACACTTTGATGTGTATGGGAGAGTGTCCCAGACATACTTGTACAGGAATATCTAGTGTCCTTACACAAGAACTTGTGGAGGGAGGTTCTTGGTTGGCCGTCTAGATATTGATTCATGTGAAAGAGTCAACTGTCCCGACTTCATAGAAGAAATCTCCACCGACTCCATACCTGTTGATCTCATTCTTTGAAATTTATGTGTTTCCTCTTCCACTGATCTCGAATATGAAGATAAAATGGAGAAATCAGAATTAAGCCAGCATTCTGATAACTTTGACTAGTTTGGACAACAGTTGGAACATAGTTCATGTTTGTTCAAAAACTTTGTAGTTACAATAATACAATTCTGGTCTGAGGAATAGGTGATAACACAAGCACACAGGAACCAAGCTCCTGGTCACCTTAAAATGTGTGAAATGATGCAGATGTTGGTATGTTGTGTAGATGTTGATACCATATCTTATCCTAAACCTGTATATAATGACCATGTGGTAAAAGAGTTGGTCTCTGGTTTTTTGAAAACTGTCAAAATTATAACCTTTCCAAGGCTAGGTTAGCAATTTATTTGCAAAATGTATTTGGATATGACTTTAGCAGAGTTCAGTATGTCAATTAAATATCTGAAATTAAAAAATCAGGTCTGTGTGATGGTGTATAAAAGATCCTGAATGTTGTTCAGAAAGTGGAATTAAATATGACTACTAGTATTTAATTTGTTGACCTTGACCATACTTCAGAATCAATGCAGGTGAATATATTATGGTATTTGCATCTACTAAGTGTATGTACAGGTACATGCTTGATAGATGAATGTGTAACAGCCAATTACCAATACTGGTATACAGTATAACATGTTTATAGCCAGACTGGGGCACCTGAATTATTTCTTTGTTAAAATCACTATATCACTAAATCATAATACACGATAAAAGTGAAAGTAAAAATAGAAAGGTTCAGTTTAGTTGGAGAAAGTACTGCTGCGAATGCTGATTTATATTTTTGGGTACAAGCATGTCATGCTGTATACATACAAGTTACATGTTACAAGAATTGTACTGTAGGCAATCTGTTTTGCATGTGTAGCGAAGGAAAGGGTGTGGAAGCAGGTGCTCTTGTGATGTAAGGCATGTACACCGTTTTGTACATTTTATATATAAAACTTCAAAGTACCCAGTATATATACTGTATATACTAGAAGCTATATTTGCACTTGTTACAAAGATCATTACCTGTGTTAAGACCTGTAGGAGGGCAATCAGAACAGGACAGAAATTTTAAAACTGTCATAAACATGATATATTTTATCTGTACAGAGCCAGTATTTACCACTAAATAGTGATATTAAGTATATACTCATGTTGGATATTGTTAACATCACTTTAAATCATCACTACATTTGTATATGCATATCAATGCAAACAGCTTCGCACATTTCCGAGGCAAATTACATCCCTGTGACATCCCCATTATGCCAATGCAACACTTGAATGTGAATACAAAATGCTGTATTTCTAGAAATCTTCTCAAAAGATGAGAATTGAACATTTACTACTATGATCAAGTCGACACCATAAGGAAGTTTACAGCTTATGTGATTTTTTTTAGTGTGGTATTGATTCTAGAATGATGAATCACGGTTGATTTTAATGTGGAAATCAAAGAATGAACATACTTATATTGTTAGAGCTTGAGAGTTTAAAAAAGAGGACCAGATAATTGGTTAGTTTCTAAAAATGATGGAAGTAAATGATTGTGATATTTTTGGTGAGAGATACATTCTGTACCCTCATAGTCTAGTTGTATATATATTTCTCTTCATTGTATTGTTATAAGTCTTTATTGATTAGTCAGTGTGAGTTTTATTTCACACACAACTATTCTAGAATTTCAAGGAAAAAGAAAAGCTCCTTGACATTTTCACTGTTTTTGGTAATTATCTGTACAAAGAAAGTGAAGTTTAAAGTTTGGAAAAAATTTCAGATATGTAAAATATGGAATAGAACCAGTCCCATGACTTTTTCATTTGAACAGAGAAATTTATATTATAAGAAATGTGTTTTACTAGGTGATGACCATAACGTATGTTTTCCTAGGTCTATTGTGATAATTATATAAGGTAGTGTATTTTCTCTTTGAGCATCAATACATTAATCTTGGAAAGCTGTGCATTTGTAAGGTGGGCTACCTGGTGCTTTTTGTTTGCAATATTATTTAAAAAGAAATATTTTGGTTAGATACATAGTGGGATGCCAATGTTAAAAACTTTGTGTTATGTATTTTTGTGTTTGTTAAAGTCTCATGGTCGTTATACACTAATTTAGATTTGTTAATGAAAATATCCATAGTAAGATATAGTAAGATAAGGTGGCACAATTATACACAATATAGTAAACAAAATGTGTATCTATTTGCTCAACATTTTTCATTCTTGATAATTAAAATACAGAAATACTAGAAGCATAGTGGCTAAAATTAACTCAGGAAATTAAATCAACAATTATATTGATATGAAGAATTATCTTATTTTTGTCATTGTTTTCCCTCAACACATCCAATGCTTTGCACAATTTATAGAAAAGCACAACTCCTTGGACACTAGATGAAGTTCAGTTTGAAATACAGTTTTTTCATTTACTAGAGAGCAGAAAATGAATCATAGTCCTATCATTACTGGTCATCAAGTGAATATGTACATGTAGGTTAGAAATTTATTGATCATGGTTTATAATACAATTTTGAACCAAATTGTCCATCATGTTGGTATTGTATTTGATGTTTTACATGGTCAAAGCTTAAGTCACAATATGTCATCATGCGCACATAAAAATCATAAAAACTCTCAGCATATGTGATTTAATGTTTTGTCAGTCATATGTTGTATATAAAACTAAAGAATGTCTGTCAGCTATTGATTTGATGTACATGTAAATAATGGAAATGTTGACAAATTTCCATAAAATTGACATATCAGTGGTTTTCATTCATAAATTGAATCAGATAGGGTTTTTTGTGTGTATCGGATAATCATTTCTATTTTTTCATGTGTTTGGTTAATTTGGTAATCACTTAGTTGTACATCTTGAATGCTGCTAATTAAAGAACATATGAATCATTAGGCATTTCCAAATTCCATCTTCCACCATTATCATTTTGTGATGATATTTACCATTTTAACAACTGTAACATATTACATATTTGGTGCTTTCCACAGCATTTTTCATTGAGCCAAAATTCATTTTGAGCACTGCCAAATTGCTATTAAGGCCATGTAAAATGGAAGATTATAACAAGGGAAAGAAATCTGTGAGGAGAGACACTGTGGAAGGAGTTCCTTAATATCACAAGTTTTACAGGAAACTTCTCATTCAAGAATTAGGAATTTTGCATTTTGAGTGCATTGATTTGTCTGTTTGTTTCATGAGTTATTTCAGAGTTCCAATGAACAGAGTATGAATTATTTAGGATTAATGGAAGACAGCAGCTTCTTTTTGATAGAAACTAGCCTTTGAAATGAGGTAACAAAGTTAGCATCAATCCCCCCCCCTCCAAAGAAATAATTACAGATGCATTTTAAAAGTATTATATATCTATAAATTAGCCCAGAATTTTTTGGCTAATTACTGACAGATTATTTTAATACAGTAGCTAGCACATGTTAATAGAATGCTGATAAGAATATGTTGTAAAGTTTCAATTTTGTTGCTTTGCTTCCTGTGAATGTCCTTGGAGAGTGCTTCAGTGTAAAAGTTGCTGAAAATACAAGCTTGATGTTAGAATTTTGTGAAGGTACCATCATGATATGATGCTGGTATTCTCAGAGTGTCTTTATTTGTGAAATATTAAAGATATTTTTTGAATAGTTAATGCTGTTTGAATGATGCTGGTATAGATAAAAGTGACTTGATGATTGATGCCAGAACCATTACATTGTTTTTCATCAGTTTCTTATTGGTTAAAATTGTCCTTTTTTGGGAAAAAAATTTAAATATGTGCTGTTCTTAAATATCAATCTGTGTGATGGTTTTAGTGATTTGCTTTTTATTCCTCACTTTCACAAGTTTATGTCATACAGGATTTTTATAATTGCCTTTTTTGTTTTCTCCTTAAAAACACCAAGACAAATAAAGTATGCTTCTTATAAAAATATTTAGATTTTGTGAAAAAGAGAAATTTCAATCAGTTTAATTCAGATGGCTTAATGATGAAAACGTTAGGTTTCAAAGTTTATTTTAGAATGTACATAAACATGAATTACTCTGATGGACTGTACTTTGTTTGCTGAAGAATCTAAGTGTGGGTTTCCGTCATTCTCTTGTTTAGTCTTGTTTGATCAGATTAGCATTTGATATTGAAAATTTGAAATGATGACAAGATATAGCATTGTTTTTTTTTCATACAAATTTTGTTCCCAAAAGGATTCATGTGAAAATAATGTAAAACAATATTTGGAATGAATAATTTTTTATGAACTGGTAACTTCAAGGGTATGCTATGTCAGGTGTACATCAATATCGGAAAACTGATGAGGGCTTCCAATAAAAACATAATCTAGTCAACCTGAGGGCTCCTATTGTAAAGCAGGAAACAGTACAATGGGTGGAAGTGTTGAAGATACTGGGGTTGGATGGCTATTTTACTGGAAAAGCCCAGATGTATGATATTCATAACTGTAAAGTATACCATCAAAAAGGCAGGATGGAAAACAGCTGATGGAAGATTTTTTTTTTACATTGTACCCCTGTGTTTGGTTTAGACACCAACAAGGGAGTCTATGTTTTGGATCAGATAGTATATATCTGATAGGGTAAAGATATTACACCAAAGCTTTCAATATTGATGAGTATGTTGTTTGAATAATTTCTTCTGTGATTTTTAGTTGATGATGTTATAACTTTGAATTGTTTGAGATTGAGTTATTGTATGAAAATGCTATTTTGTTCTGTTTTCTGTGGTAATAAATTACAAGCTTAGAATTTTCCAGATTGGAAGATATTGTGTGAAGGAACAGGAAAACACTTAATTGATAATTGAAACTGGTGGTTAAGTTTTAACAGTGGTAGAGAGAAGTAAGATGTTTGTGGTGGTGAGGGCATGCTAGTGTCTCCTGTTCATTTATGTAGATTTTTGTTTAGATTTGTATTAAAGCATCTTTATGAGAATTTATTTTAGTGATACAATTTGTGCAATGTAAATGTACCGCTTTTTCTTCTTCTCCATACAAGTTACTTCTGGGGAAGTACAACTATTGAAAGAGATTTTTTCAGATACTCTACAGGTGCATGCTTTTCCAATAGGAGATTCAAAATGTTCAAAAAATTTATTTTTCCTAGGTTACCAAATTTCACTTCTGTAGTCAGATTCATAGCTGTTATTTTTCTGAAATTATTTTTTCGTCTTGATAAAAAGATTACCCAGTACCTGAAGAATTATTTATATTGCTGCTTGTGTTACCATTAAGTTTGTCCTGCATTATCTCCCTTTGTTGGTCAGTCCGGTCTGTAGCATGTGGTGCATTTGTATTATAGTCAGATCATGTTAATTATTACAGTTGTCTTCTATGATTTAAATCATACTTTGTTGATGTAGTATTTTCAGAGAAATAATGACAAAGCGTGTCAATTTTCATTTAAGATTTTTTGTTATTCTTAAAAAGTTATTTATAAAATTTAATAAATATGTAGTAAAGGAGGAGTGATTTCGTGTTTATTTGTTGGGTATACATGGAAATGGGTTTTGTAAGCTCATCTGGCTGTATAGTTTGATGCAAGCTGATATGGTGCTGTGGTTGAATTCTTTCGCATGCCAATTGCCATTCTGATCTCAAATGAATTTATCAAGCCCTTTTACAGTTTTAGGTTACAAATCTAAAGATTCAAAATCAAGTACAACCACTGTAGCCAAGCAAAACTATAAAGTTTATTTTTCTTCAATGGTTCAAATTTTCATGATTTCACCAAAGATTTGTTTTTAAAAAGGATGTATTATTCTCTGTAGACATGAAAAAGACCATTGTTTACCTTAGCAATGGTTATTTTCAAAGTTTCTTTGAAACAGTGAAAAAAGAACCCTTCCAAAAGAAAATTACCTTTATAATACTTCAGAATTATCAGGCAAACTTCATATATTTATTGCCTTGTGGGCCCGACTCAATTGAGCCAGTTCAGGAATGTTAACTAAATAACTTCAATAAAGAGGAAGAGCTAACTGAATGAAAAAGTAATATTTAAAGGGAAGGAATAGGGTGAAGGTTGACCTGGTTGAATTGTTAACCAGAAGCTTCCTCAGCTTGCCAAAGATTAAATCCTGGAAATACCTACCAACACAACTCTAACCAAACAATATAAATTGTGCTGAAATATTTTAGAGGGGTGAAAACACCATAAGGTATAGGAAACTCGTTCCACAGCAAGCAATACTTGCAGCTCTAACAAGCACAAAGATACTTGGCATGTAGGAATGGACTAGTATTAGGTGATAAAACACTCAAGTATAAAACTTGTTCAGTATTATCAGTAATATACTGATAGAGACAAAAACACACAAAAACATGAATACATGATAATGGTCATTTAATGAATTTGTACATGATAAATGTGTCCTGATTCTTAATATGAATAATGAACATAATTCCATTTCAAATTTTGTCCTAAGAACGATAACAAATATTCCTGTAATTATTTGTGAAATGTGTCTTTTACATGTGACCTTCATACTACATCTGTATTTGTTTAAAGGACCTTTTCAAATATATGTGAAGAGGGTAAGGCAATTACAAGACAAACCCTTATATCACTGCTTTTGATTTCAATGGATCAATCTACATATACAATGTTACGAAGCAGTCCATAGCAACAGGATTCATAAAAACAACACAGAATGTAACACAATGATGCAGACTACCTGTTCATGTAATTACTGCAACTTTTCTTATCTTGAAGGGATTCCTATACATGAATCCATGGACATCTTTTTATTTTCAATAAACGAAGTTTAAAACTGCAGACTTGACCCTGTGTGTCTATGACACCTGTAGGTATTTCTGTTATGTGGTCCAAAACAGTGTTTCTAGGACACAAAGCTTGTGTGAGCTTTTCCTGTACTCCACACAATTACAATAAATCCTTCCTGTAATCCAAACGACAGTTCAAAAATAAACTCTCCCAGTCATCCAAACGACTATAATAAGCCTTGTCTCTTCAAATCCTCGTATGTCTTCTTGTTGAACACATTTCCACTCGTATCTTCATATTCTTCCTGTAAAAAAAATTCAAAATTTCAAATATAATATTTTTTATTTTAAAATTATTTCAATCCTTACCCGGCAAAGCAGCTTATAGTATAGGTATTTCTCTGTATTATGCATGGCACCAAATATAAATAGGACACTTAAATACGAACAACCTGAAGCTGCAGAACCGGTAAAATAAGATACATATATATACCATAGTAATATTATTCTCACTGTTACAGAATCCTGTAATTCATATTGTTATACATGTATTTCCAAACTCAACAAAAATAAGAAAACTATTTCGGTGATTATATTTAGTGAGATAGCACTAGCTGTATCACAGACACTGATCCTTGTAGCACCTACTGTTCCCAATAACATGTAAAACACTTCTTAATCTAAAACAGATTTAGTTACTATCTATACTTAGGTTTCAACCATGACCACAAAAACGACTTCAATATAGTTATTCAGTCAAGCCTTGTTCAGAATTGGTCACTTGTGAAAGATCAACATGGATAAAGCATATTTATGTTCAATGATGGATTTGCCTCATTAGCCTCCTAGATTTCCAAAGTTACGTCCTTAATATCACTAAGAAGTCCTCGCCGGATGATATAGCTTTATGATGCAGTTAATTCATTATTTAGTCTACGATATATAATTCTAAACTTCAGCTTTTAGGTAAGGGAATAACAGTACTATATATACACTGTAATCTATCATGATTAACAAACCTCTGTTTCGGACTTCCATCTGTCTGTTTCCTTTGTTGACTTGATTTTTGACCATACTGAAAAAAAAACATTTCAGAATGAAGGTGTGCTATCACTCAGGAGACTTTCACATTTTCCTTAGGTGAATATGACCTCTCATGTAAACCGCTGTAACCCTAGTGTAAATACTAGCCACACTATACTGCTCGGCTAGACAGAAATTCTCTTTAGCCTGATAGGTTGAGTATGAGATCAGCAAGCCAGAGGTCCCAGGTTAAAATCCTGGTGGAGGCGTTGGAAGAAATATTGACTTCTGTCAAACCAAGTTAGCTGTATGATTTGTTACTAGCCTCCTACGGTACAACAAGAGTATCCTAAGGCAGAACAATATATCTGGTACACCCATCTCATAACCAAGCAATATTCTTGATCAAATTTATTGAAATTAATGCAAATATAGAAATGGTAATGTCAAAACAGGGAAGAATAAACTACAGACAACACTGGGGAAGGAGATCTCCAAACAAAAAAACAAAAGGGCAATAACTTCTTCAAAAATTGTTGAATCAAGCTGCTGTGCACGGAAACACAATTTCCTATCATTGTGATAAGTTTCAAAGTAATTAGACAAGGTCAACATTATGAAAAAGACCATGGGTCAGTAACCCTTCCAAAAAACAGAATCAAAATGTCACTTAAGAAAATACAATTTAATGCCATGGTTACTATGCCTACCATGTTTTAAAGAAATGAGTTGAAAACTAAGAGTGGAGACATTTGGAAAACAACAAGATGCAGGAACTTGTCCACGTACAGTTAAAGGAAAACACAACTTCATGTTTTACTTGAATATTAGTTTTAATTGGGCACAAATACATTGTACATACAGTATATAGTCACACAAAAATCTGGTAATCACAAAAAAATTAAATGGAGAGTTATGAATGAAAATGTGTAACAATGGATTATTTGTGTTAAAATCTTTATATGACATTTTTAAACACTAACATAAATCTGAAAACTACATAGTGTATTCATATACACAAAATGTGACAATAACCTAATTTTTCCTTTGCTATTGGTGATGAAAACTTTACCAGGCTATTTCCAATTAATAGCCACTTAAAAGATGTGAAAATCAGAGCCTGGACATTTAATATCCCCAATGATGGAAGTTTCTTTTGGAGGAGTAGGTGGTGGAGATGCATAATAACAAATATCAAAGAGTCAGGAAGCATTCAGATTGTGAAATGATCAGAATTTGTTATCAGAACATTACAACTTACATGCTAAGGCATCCTCTATCAGTGTGACATTGGCAAAGTGAGCTGTGTTCGGGATTCCAAGACATCTCATTCCATGAGCATGACGCCATTCCTGTCAAACACAAAGCATAAAATAAGTCAACTTTTTATATTTGATAATTAGGAAATCACTAAAAAAGAAACCTGGGTTTTTTTTCAGGAAAAATAGCAGTATTTGTTGCTTTATTGAACAGTTAATCAATGTTTAAAAATACATACAGCAAAATGTCTCTGGAATGCCTTCGGTCCTTTGTATGTGAAGTTTCCACAAATCTCACAGGTGTAACTGATGTTTAGGCCATGTAACTTGTACAACCAGTATGGAATAGGCTATTAAACAGAAAGATAATAAACTCAGATCATCACAAAAAAATTGACATGTCAATCAAATATAAAATACTAAGAGAAATATAAGTGGCTAAATTGTACTTAAAAGTAATACTTCCAAGACGCACATTTCAATTTTACAATGTGTTGTTTAAGTGTCAAATGATTTTAGTGGTCATCACAATCCAGAAAGTATTTCTGTTATAACTACCAATTGTAACACCAATTATTTTCAATAAACATTGTATTAAAAGTCACATTTATGCATTATGTTGGTAATTTTTATCAATGAAATGTAGCAAGGAGAAACTATATCTGTACTCTACTACTGAAGTTCTCTGGGTTGTCATAAATGAATTGAGTGTAAATATATTTTCCGATAACAATGAAGATATCATTAACATGACTGCAGGTTTGAACATACTAAGAAACTATAATGTTTATTACATAATTCACAGTGTTTACTTTATCATATAGACTGGAATCATCTGGCGTAGTTTCTGTTTATTTCATGAGACAATGTTACACTGTATTGTTATGTAACATTTATATTGCATTATGACACTTCAGTAAAAGTGAGGTAATAAAGGATATCACATGAAAATCCCCAAATGACATTGACTTCAGGTAGTCAACAGTATCATAACACCCCCTCCTGTCTGGCTGTCAGATTCACAGAGGAATCTTTCAGTGACACTTGGGAAGATCCAGAATATTTTAAAGCATGATCTCAAAGTAAAAACATACCGCAGAGTCAATCCTTTAGTGTTTACTGAGGAATTAAGAGCTATTTCTAACCAAACCCTTGTCTGTTGTCGGAAAACATTATTTGAGACAATTTCCAGTCAAGTATTTTGTAATTAGCAACATGCATTAAAACAGATGTCCTATATCCTTCACATGGAATAGTAAAATATATTTTCCCCTGAGTACTTGTAATCAGCCATAAGTTATACTGCAACCAGCCATGTGCAATAAACCAAAAAGTAATATATGGTCAACTAACTGCATCTAAGACTCGGGTAAATATCTGTGACTATAGCATGATACATCTGTAAACAAATAATGTGTATCATTTCCTCATGTACCACTATAAATAAACAAGTGGATTTTTGTGAAATAAAGCCAATTCAGACCTTTCCATCCCAACCAAGTGGCAGATTTTTGGGGTTGTATGGCACATCATCATCATCGTTGTCGGAATCTGACTCTGCATACTGTTCATCATCCGACTCCTCCCTCTCTTCTCCGGTCCTTGCTTGTTTCCTCTGCACATTGTCACGTGTGGATGATCTCTGTTCACTAAGTATTTCTGCGAACCGATACACCTGGCCTTCCAAGTTTGCTATCTCCCTCTGTCGTTCTGTGTCTCTATAATATAGCATGTACATATATATGTATACAATTAGTAGACTTTACTTCAAAAAGGTGAAGAAAAGGAAAAATAATCCATAATTCTGTAAAGGATTAAACTGCAATCTGAATCCTGCTTGATATCAAATGTCTGTCACAAGGTAAGGAATCACTGTGAAATACACCATATGGAATATCAACAACTTCCGTGGATGTTATACAGCAAGTGCGAGACATTGCACAGACAGTTCAACATAAACTTAAAATTTGTGAAAAGTTTCATAACAAGCCCAAAACTAATAAAGTTGAGTTACATCATCTCATTTCCAACAAATAAACCAACCCAAATTTAATAAAAAAAAAAAAAAAAAAGATTAATTGGAGATCAGAATGACACTTTTACCATGATTTTGTTGGAGTTTAAGATTCTTAAAAAGTTGTGATACAGTGAGATGAGTTGGAAAATTGAGAATTAGCTATATCTCAGAATACAAAAACCTAACTAGGTCAAGGTCTTCAAGATTTTGGAAAGAAAGGTAGGTGAGAATTTGGTAGCAAACAAAATTACATAATTGCACCTCTTGGTAAACTTACCGACTTTTGCCTGCCCGACCAGGTTTGGACTTTGCAAACAATGCTGGGTCAAGATCTTCTAAATTCTTGCCTTTTGTGCTGAATAACCTGATTGCACGTTCCTCTAAAGTACTGCAGAAAAAAAATCTTTTACTTCAGTACATAAAATTATAAATAAATCAACATCAAGGAATACGAGAAATATCAAAAATTCTTTACAGGCATGATTCATTTGATCTTTAAAGGAAACAAGCTCTTTCCAAAAGACACAAATATGACTGCATCAGTTTGTTGTATTTGATAAAGACCTGCATGACACTAATTTCTTTTATGTGCAAGTGCTCTTGAAAATGACAAAACATTGACTGTATTAGCATACTACCAATCATTTCTTGAGATATCTAACCCTCCATTTGTCATCAAATATACAAGGGTCATGTAGGAAAGTGCCTACAAAAGTGTGTAGTAAGTAGGGAGGAGGAAATAGAGTACTTTACTCGCCACATTTATCAAGTTAGTACGGAGGAAGAAATTTGTTAAGTGAGTAAGGATGGAGAAAAAGAATACCCTACCCGCCACATTTGACTCCTAACGCCATCAAAGCACTCTTCAGTCTGTCCAATCCCAAGGAAGCCAATTCCTTCATAAACAAATTAAAATAAGAACTTTTATGTATGGTAATGTTTGTTTAACTGCTAAAAACTTACTGACACTGATTTTTTCACATAATCTGTTTATAATAAGTTTATCAGTGAATAGAAAATAATTTGAATTTAACCAAAAAACAAAACAAAACAAACATGTACATGTACACATATGAACATTCAAAAGAAAGTAATCAAAATCATTTTTCACTGACATTGGACAGATTTAGTAGTGGTCCACTTACCTCCCAGGAAGAAAAGGCAGACAGGTCTAAATGAGCACCAGTATGGGCCAATGCACCCGTTGCTTCTTTCTGTAAAGGGAGACAAATCATCATGTATCTACAATTTATCATGTTTAAAATATAAGGGTTTTTTTTGTAACTCAAATGTTGTAATGATATCTAGATTACCTTTAAGTTTTACCTTAAATAAACTTATCAGATACATAAAATAGACATAATATGCAGTTCAGTTGATGACAAGGAAATACTACACTCTTGTTCGTGTGAAATATGAGATATAATACCATAACCTAAGTATTTTCTCCAAACATCAGTAGACAGTGTCACTAGAACTAACTTCAAGGACTACTCAGAAAAGAACATGCAGAGAAATTATTCAACCTTTCAATAAATGAGCAACATTTTAACTTACAGGCCAGCCTGGAAAGGTACCATCAGTCCATTGTGCTTCAAACTCAAGCTTCACATTGTCCATTTCCTATGGGTTAAAATATACTTATACATAAATATGTACTTGTCTATTCACACAGGAAATTCAAGAAAATGAATGGAATAATTCTATGCATCTACAAATACTCTATATGACCTTGAGAACTTTATGGTGTTCAATACCCTGTACAAAGCTGAAACAATCTGTAACTTACATCTCCAATATCCAGTAAAGGCCGCACCCGCTGTGTGTAATCTTCTAGGTACTCCAACAGAAACAACAGATATCTACAAAATATGTATTCTAAAATTTAAACACAGAAGTCTCTAAAGCTAAGACCATTTAATCAACATTTCCATTACATGCAGTAGATGTGTCAAATTGTACACTGTATTGTGTGCAGAATTAAAACATTTTTTTGGATTCTTCTCCAGATATTTCATTCTTGGTTGAAACTTAAACAGACATGTTAATTTCCTCTACAGGACAATAAAGGTCTTCGAAATGGTGAAGGAAACTCCACTGTACAATCATGGCTTTCTCCATGTCAGAAACCTAATGGCTAGAAATTATCAGTAACTATACAACACACTGCTAAAGGTCACTAATAATTTAAAATATGTCTAGTAATGATGAAATAAACTCTGTTAACCATAACACAAATACACAATTAACTGTGTTGATATATAAAGACATAAAACTTCAATCACATATAATCTGAAAAATTTTATGAGACAGGTTTCTTACTCTTTATATGCAGCATTCTTCTTGTCTTTTGGAATTTCAAACAACTGGTCAAACGTTGTCATATATGTCAGGTAATCTACTTTCTGAAACAAAGATAAGACATTTTCTTCAGCTGACAGAACAGTATGGTCATATTTTGTGAGGTCGGTATAATTTTGCAGAAACTTTCATGCATAATTGACAAAAGAGTCATTCAATAATACGCAGATCTAGGAGAATTAAAGGATATAAGAGCTAGTATCATCATATCTAATAAACATGTAGACTTAAATAATTAGAACTACAGACTGTAAAACATTACAGACATTCTATTGCTCCTACTTTGATTAAATACAAAGCATACTTCAAGATAGAACAGTTTTACAACCATGCTAAATCTCTCATAGAACCATAATTAAAAAACATGTATAAAACTGGCTTTAACACCATGTATGAAAATACTTTAGCCTACAGATTCTGTCAAAGTTTGTCCACAATTTCGCGCCAGACTTGTAAAGAAATTCCATAAGGGAGCCTGTCATAATTTCTTCACCCCCATTTCTACTGATATCCTGAGAGAAGTATGTAAATAGTCTAAACAAACCTCAATGCCTTTAAGGTTGATATATTTCTCATAACACTCATGTAGATCAAGATATTTGCCATAACCTTCTTCATCAGCAAATTCAGCCATGTCTGAAAAATGATAAAAAAATTAATATAAGACATGACATATGAGACCGACTTCCTCAAACAGGTACATACAAGATACTAATCAAGTTAATATCTAGTTTTCTTTTCCAAATGTATGTTCAATGGGATGACGTTGAAAACTACAAACAATATTGTGAAATATGAAAAATTAGAATTATATACATCAACATTAACATTTCAAAATGTGGAAGATTTTGTGATAGTAATTGTAAAGCAATGGTAATTGAAACTAAAACAGTACTCTAAATTTCTTCAAAAAAAAAAAACTACTTCTGCTCTGGACAACTTACAGATTTCAGAAAACAAACAAGTACGCCAATCAAAAAACTTGGAATCAAAATAAACAGCTTGTAATTTAATGTATCATGTAAAGTATATCACATAGAAAAATGTCTGCCCTTGGTGAGGTCTACATTTCACTTACTCTGTGCCTCGTCTGAAGGGTTGTCTCTGGCTTTCGCTAGTTCATCAAACTCTACCGACATAGGTATACTTATCTGGAACACAAAAATCATGAAATTCACAAAATTGTTGTCAGACCATCATGAACATTTACACACCACTAAAGTGTAAATAATACAAGGAAAATGAGAGGCTGGTTAGGTGTCTTGAAACTATTGGACCAAGTCATGAATATATCTTAAATAACAGGCATGTATAAAGTATATGATAATGTGTTAGCTCGTCGATTAGGAGAGAATATCTTGATTTATCTACTACAAGAAAGCATAATAGCCCACAAATATAGATAAAATTCTAGCCCACTCGCCTAGTACTAAGTTCACTACTTCTATACATGGAAATATCACACAGATTCATACCTCATTTGGATGTTTTCTGTGAAAGTCTCTTAATCCCTTTAATCTGGAGTAAAATTCTGCAAACTCATTTGGTCCTGATAAAGCTTGTACTTCCTCTTTTCTTAGTCTGACATGAAAAAATGGAACACTGAGTATAAATAGTGTATACATCATTTTTTATAAGGTAATTGCTATAAAAAATACCTTACTGTATACAAGGAAAGCTTCATGTGCTGTAATATTGCTTCATAGATACATAAACCATACATCCATCACCATTAACAACATTCATTCTACACTCAAGTATCCACCATGTTATAGGATTCCATGATATATTTATGATTAATTTGAAGAAGCTTTATTTATCACACATAGCAACTGACAACTTCAGGTTTTTCAAATTTCCATGAAGTTGTTTATTGAAAATGTACTTAAATTGTTTAAAGTTAATTTACCCATCCTTATCTTCATAAAGCTCTTTCAGTTCTGTTGTTCCTTCTTGATATCTCTAAAAACCAAAAAAGTTTTGCAGCTTAAAAGAACTGGTCACAGTATCCTATGACTAGAATTGAAGTTCTTATAACACAACCAGTCACTTAAATCTTCTTACGGTTGTACTCTTTGTATAAGAACTTCTATTCCAATAACATTACAGACCTGAAGAAAACATTCCAAATTTTTCAATTATTGTTTAAAATAAATAGCAATGATGTAGGTGATTTTTTGAAGGAGGATTCAGATGAAATGCTATAATTACAGGCCTATCACTTCCCGTTTTTGGGTTAATATTTTCTGCATTTAACGATTCACATACATATGACATGGGAATGAATCTTGTACTTACGTCGAGTAACTGTCTCAGTCTGTGATCAGAATTGATTTGTTCTCTTCCCTAAAATCAAGTAAAAGAAATGTATCAAAACAGAGTAATTCATAATCATCCATGGATGTAGAATTGTTGGAATGTGTTGATAAGATAATTACCTCTCATTTTTTATTGTAAAATCTGGTCTCTTTTACAGACATAACTGTTTTCAATCCCATATTTTTTTGTTGATTTCTCAGTTTTTATGGGATAATCATACATTTTTCAATTTTTATTAAGACTTGGACATAAAAAGGTTAAGTAAACAAATAAAAACTATACTTATTTTGAATCTATGACTGATTATACTGCTGGTAGTGTTGTGAAATGACACTGTAGTAAAGTTTCGAGGGTTTTGGGTAGCTACCTCCAGAACATCCCATTTTACAATTTATATCTAGAACCCAACATAAATAAGTTATGGAAAGAAATGCTGTTTTGTAATTTCGTTTTTAGTTATGACTCTTTAAGTTCTGCATAGTTACTGATAATCATGATTGTACTATAAATGGCATGAAGTTCATAATACAGGAAACTTACCAGTATCTATACCTCTGTTGACCAACTATCACAGTTTTTCTATCTTATTTAATATACCAATCTTATTAAATATACTTCATTGAAAACAAATTCTGAAGGTTATCCCTAGGCTTTGTTTTATGATTAACAAGCAAATCCCAGAACTCCAAGTTGAAATGGAAATCTTAAAACCAGATTTAGATAGCACATTATATAAACAGAAATTACCAGACTTTGGAAAGAGTGATATCACAAATGAGTCAGTCTGCATGCAATGGCCTACATGAATAGTTTTAACACACACTACATTGTATATCCTGCCGATTTTTTACCATTTGGTATATTAGCATGTATGTACATTGCACTTTCTCAATAGTGTTTTAATTTCCTAATTTGGAACACTGCGTCTATGTCATGTTAGTATTCATTATTAAAAAATATTCAACTCCTCAAACTACTAATCTGGTTCAATTTTGGTTTGATGCTTGCTTCTTTGATTTCATTGCAGAGAATATTTTTTGTTGCAGTAATATAATTGGACAATTTTAACGGGACAAATCGGCCGGAGATTTGTTAATGCTTACAACCAATCTATTGTATGATATGGAATATCCTACACCGGTCAATATTGTTAATAAAACAGGCAAGCTTATTTTCCTTATCTTAATGTCGTATGTCTTGATCTGATCAAGAGACCAACGGCAAATTAATTCGTGTTCGATCTATTACGGAAGACCATGTTCTGTTCAGGTTGTTTTTCAAAACGTAAACATCCACGCCACGCCATAGCATAACTTAGCAAGCTCACCGGTTTAGCAGGATGTAACATTTCTTTGGTCATCGCATCGGTAAGCCTTTCTCGTTCTTCATGATAGCGACGCTGCTGTTCCAGCAGAGTCTCCATTTCGTTGTATACAGACAAACCACCTTTTCCGAATTCAACTTTCGCACCGGGACTATAAAGCGATGCGTGTTGATCAGGGTCTGGTGAACGCTTGATACCAATCAGCTCTGAAGTCAAACACTCTGGTCACGTCTTTGCTAAAGCTAGTTTTACTACGCAAAATACGAAACTAAAACGTATTTCTTGGAGAATCATTGGAGTTTGTCTACCGTCATTAATTTTGTCACGAAGGGGGATTTGTTAAATATTAGAGTGAGTTGGGGAAAAAAGCCACGAACAATATTTCCAGTAAATATCAACAAATGATATGTTATTGGTAAATTTTGTAAAGGACTGCTTGTTTTTTAATCCAAATATGTGAAACTTTTAAACTAAACTAATCATTAAGTCTATCATGATATAATTTACTGTTTACTATAAGCTTAGATGCCATTTAAACTGATTTTTCCTAGTAAACATGTTCTTTAAAGAACATGGAAATTTCTGCCGAGTACATGCCTGATACTAATTCAGTCAAAAAATGCTTAGTAATTTCTGTCTTCTATGGAATATGAATGTAAACACCTGTATAGCAATGTATACACATACATATATATGAGTTGTACAATATATGTGTTAATTGTACTATCCATATTCATATTTATATATAGATACATTGCCAAACAGATGTTCCTATCATGTAATTTGATAATTTGCCACTATGAAAATGTTGACAGTTTCTAGCTGTCTATCATTACAACTTCTAAACATCCTTTTTGGGGATACCAGACGCTGTAATGATTAGGTTGCAGTTGTGAAATATTTTGACTAGGCGAGTTGGTACAGCATCAGGGCACATGTCAAAACTGTCTTCCTTCAACTGTTATAAATGTCCAATATATATGTAGCCATCAGTATTCAACACTGTTGCAAAATAAAATTTAGATACACATACATATTAGTAGTAAATTTAAAGTGCATTTGCTGTACTATCATCATATTCATCTTAATCAAGCACCACTAAAATTTAATTTCAGACTGCCAGAAAGCAAGAAACCTAAATAATAGACTGTGTTATATACAAATATACCTTTCTGTGAATGAAGTAATTTCATCACTAAACATAATATTTACTAAATATGGCCTTTGACCCATTTCTGTGACCTTGACATTGGTGATGTAAACATCAGAGAGACATTATAGTGTCCATCTTTAACAATCCATTCTTACAACTGTTGATCTATGCAGAAGATCTGAGCCAGATGCAGTAAATATAGACAGGAACCGATTCATTTATTTTTACACTTACAGTCACAAATAAAAGCCAGACTTCAAGGTCAAGTTTAGATTTTTTAATCATGTTGCACAGTTTAACTATTAATTTATTTCAATGTCTACAACACATGAAAACTTACACTAAAACTAACATAATCTTTTCTTTAAATAAATACTGGGATAATGCACACAAATAAATTACATTTAGTACTGTATAGAATTACTTACATATGAATATGTACATACAATTATAACGGTTATACTGTAAGTTTGACATGACTTCATTAAATATGCTGGAATGTGTTACTGCAAGATTGTGCAAATGTAAATGCCATTTTGACATTTTTAACAAACTGGTTTATTCTTTAAAATTTATGATAAGTGTACATAAATTTATTTAATATACTCCAAGGAAAAGGTTGGCTCCTTCTGAAAATTCACAATGCATGTAGCAGAATTTTAATTAGTACTGTGTATAAAATCTAGAACATTGAAAACAATGAGCAACAATTACAATCCATTATGCATCTAAAACTGCCTAACAATGATGTTTTATAGAATTTTTTTTTATAATTAACAGTTATCACTGGAATTTATTGAAATCTGTGGTCAATACACATTAATAATAATACAGCAGTCTCCAACTGAATTTTGGTACAACTGGACTGCATGATAACGGACCATGAGTCATGGCACAAAGCACTGCATGTTAACGGACCATGGGTCATGGCACAAAGCACAGCAATGATAATGTCCGACAGCACCATGCTGAAGAACCGCGAGTCATGGCACCAGGTATAGCAATGTTCTTGTCTGATAGGACTATGTTGTAGGACCAGGAGTCATGGCACCAGGTACAGCAATGATAATGTCCGATAGGACTGTAGCGGGGGACATTATATCTTGTGTAATTTTAAATGATATAAAGCTGTCAATGCTTCAATTTTAGTCAGCTTTATACAGGTGTCTGTGTGTCAGGTCTACTGTAGTGTTTGTACCCTGTGTACCTGTGACCTCTCCATTGTTTTGTCCTGTCACCTGTTACCCCTTTGTCGGAGGTCTATGTATATCACGTGCAAGTTCTCCTGTCTTGTTTTCTTGCATTTTCGTCCGTGTCAGGGGTGTTCTGTCTCTGGTGATGTGTTGATTGGTTCAAACTGTCTCGTATTGTCATTTTAGGGTATAAGATGCAGTATGTCTAATAATTTGAGTGCAAAGCATCGGATTAATTTCCACAGGGTGAAAACCTTCTCTGAGGTAGGTCGGGGGATGGTAGCGTAATTCGTTATTTTATCGGGTGGGAAGCTATAGCTGGGTGGAATGTAATTTTGTATAGAGATAGATAAGTTTATGTATTCGGTGTAAGATGGGGGTCTCTGTGTCGGTATAGGCCTATGCCATTGTTGATAATCCCTGTTAATTAATGTTTGCTTTAAAATAAGTAGTTACATTTAAATTAGCAGTGTTTGTCCACCTTCGAAAACAAAACACCAGCTGTACCCATCAACCTGGGTTGACAGTGATACAGGACGAGACGGGACCGGGTAACTGTTGACCCCCTTTCTCCCTCCTGTTACAGGACTATGTTGTAGGACCAGGAGTCATGACACCTGGTACAGCAATGATAATGTCTGATCGGACTATGTTGTAGGACCAGGAGTCATGACACCTGGTACAGCAATGATAACTGTCTGATAGCACCATGTAGAAGAACCGCGAGTCATGACACCTCGTACAGCAATGATAATGTCTGATAGGACTATGTTGTAGGACCAGGAGTCATGACACCTGGTACAGCAATGATAACTGTCTGATAGCACCATGTAGAAGAACCGCGAGTCATGACACCTCATACAGCAATGATAATGTCTGATAGGACTATGTTGTAGGACGAGGAGTCATGACACCTGGTACAGCAATGATAACTGTCTGATAGCACCATGTAGAAGAACCGCGAGTCATGACACCTCGTACAGCAATGATAATGTCTGATAGGACTATGTTGTAGGACCAGGAGTCATGACACCTGGTACAGCAATGATAACTGTCTGATAGCACCATGTAGAAGAACCGCGAGTCATGACACCTCGTACAGCAATGATAATGTCTGATAGGACTATGTTGTAGGACGAGGAGTCATGACACCTGGTACAGCAATGATAACTGTCTGATAGCACCATGTAGAAGAACCGCGAGTCATGACACCTCGTACAGCAATGATAATGTCTGATAGGACTATGTTGTAGGACCAGGAGTCATGACACTTGGTACAGAAATGATAATGTCCGATAGGACTATGTTGTAGGACTAGGAGTCATGACACCTGATACAGCAATGATAATGTCTGATAGGACTATGTTGTAGGACTAGGAGTCATGGAAACAGGTACATGTAGAAGAATCATTAGTTGAGGCATTAGATACAGCAATGTCCTTCTCTGATAGAATTATGTTGAAGGACAAGGAGTCACAGCACCAGGTATAACAATATCCTTGTCTGACCGTGTTATGTTGAAGGACCAGGAATCCTGGTACAGCAAAGTGATTATCTGACATGACTATGTTGAAGGACCAGGAGTCGTGGCACCAGGTAGAGTAATGTTGATGTCCGATAGGACTAGGTTGAAGTACCAGGATTTGTGGCACCAGGTACAGCAATGTTGATGTCTGATGGGACTAGGTTGAAGTACCAGGATTTATGGCACCAGGTACAGCAATGTTGATGTCTGGCAGTATTTTACATGTTGTTATGATGTCAATTTTATCCTCCAGGTAGAACAGGTCATTAGTCAGTAATCTCATGTTGTGGGATATATCCTGTTATAAAAAAGGAAGAAAATGAAAAACTGGTCACTGCCATTTTTTTTATGTATTATTAAATAATCATAAATAGTAAGTTTATTTGTGAACTTATTTTCACAAACTGTGTGAAATTTAATCAACATTCCTTGAGGAATGAAGCCAATTGGTTGTCAACAAGAATTTTCATACAATAGTAATGGTGAATCACATGTATCTGTTAAAATTTAAAACATATCTGTATTATATAAGCAGAAGCAATCACCATGACAAGGCTCTGGGATTTGTGAAGTTGCTGTGTTGTGTTGTGGAGGTCTTTGGTTGCTGTTTGGTAAGCTTGGTGAACAGCATCAACCATATGGCGTCTCAGTAATGCATTCCTGTCTCCTACAAAATAAGTTGTACATTACTTTGACACATATTTAATCAAGATGAAAACAACTTGTGATATTTAAACAAAGATACATAAATAACAATCCCCTTAAAGTCCTTTAGAATTACTTGTTCCTTGGAGTCTAAAGTAAGTTACCTTCTTGATGGAGCTGTGAATGTTTCTCTTGAATACATCATGTACTAAGCTGGTTAAGGTGGTCTGAACTTGTCATATACTAAGATGTTTTTGGTGGTGTAAAATCCACATATACTGAGATAGTTTAGGTGATGTGTGAACTCAGTTTAAGTGGTGTTTAAACTCGTTATATACTAAGATGGTTTAGGTTATATATGAACTCATACAATAAGATGGTTTAGGTGATGTTGAAATCATACAATAGGATGGTTTAGGTGGTGTGTGAACTTGTCATATACTAATATGGTTTAGGTGATGAGTGAACTTGTGACACCAGTCTGTATGTTGTATTTTTATCTGTGAAGATAGGGGACAAGCTTTTATTCACTCCTACTAATATTGTTGCATACATCTCCAATGTAATGTGATAATATTACTTCTTCATGATATTTACACATTCATAATGTGATGCATTAAACTATACAAATTTATCAAAAGTAGTTCCAAATTTCCTAACCTATATCATCACTGTGACCTTGATATTGAGTAAAGATCATTCTTTCCTTGGTATTCTCTATCCCAGTATGGTACAGGCTGATCATATACAGTTCTATGGCAATAAAATATAAATCCATCCCTATTTATTGGTGTTCAGTAAAATTATAAACCAATGCTATTTCATAATCCTGTAATTAGTCCATCCCCTGACTATGTGCAAAAAGAAATGTGTTGGTCCCCTGGGCTTATTGTCCTGTAATTAGTATATCCCCCAATTATGTGGAAGAAGAAATGTGTCGGCCACCTGAGTCTATTGTCCTGAAATTAGCCTATCCCATGACTTTTAAGCCCTCATGCTTATTGCCATGTAATTAGCCTATCCTATGACTTTTAAGCCCCATGCTTATTGCCATGTAATTAGCCTATCCCATGACTTTTAAGCCCCCATGCTTATTGCCATGTAATTAGCCTATCCCATGACTTTTAAGCCCCCATGCTTATTGCCATGTAATTAGCCTATCCCATGACTTTTAAGCCCCATGCTTATTGCCATGTAATTAGCCAATCACTTGACTTTAGTAAGAAGACATGTTGGCCCCCAATCTCTTCCAGAGGGCAGTGCAGTACTCTACTCAACACCTCTGTAAACAGCTCACACCATTTTAAGACTCCTGACAAAAATATTTTCGTCAAAAAAGAAATTATTTAAGTATGTTTATGTTTTATTATCTATGTAAGTATTTAGGAAACAAACAGTTTATTTGGAAAACAATTACATCAGTTCATGTGGCTTTAAACATGGACTATATCATGAAAGAATATGGTGAGTAAGCACTAATTGTTAAGACAACTACTTGTATAAATCAGTGCACACAATTTTCTGACTTCTTATGCTAGATAATTTTGTTGAATTACAGATGTGAAAATCCTTTTTCTGACTCGCTTACAAAAGTAAGATTTGTAGGTATTTTTTCTTGTGAGTATTATTTCCAATACTTTGACGAGCCCAATTACAAAGAGATTGAGTGAGTCTCACAGGAAAAGCTTGAGTCCAGAACTCAATTTTTTCCCAAAAATCACATATTGCCATATATATATTTAATACAAGTTACTTACTTAACTTCCTGTGAAGCAATCTGAAACATACAAAGGCCAGGTTTTAATTTACATTGTTAAGTCTACACTAAAACTCAATTTCATTTCAAATATCATACAGATGACAAAGGATATAGAGGACCTTACATGAGTGTCAGTGTAATAAGACATTCATCAAACGAGTTCAACCATTTGAAATGTCACAAGCCTTTGAAAAATTTGAAAAATAAAGTGAAAATTCTCAAATCAATTTCCTAAAAAGAATGTTTTTCACAATCAAGACAACCATGTGATGTTATCAAGATGAGACTTATCTATGACATCATAAAAGTGTCATTAAAAATGTTGTGACATGGCTGTATGACATGACACTCAACTCACACTTAGACAGGTTATGTAATAAAACTTGTTTACAGATCACTCCTTTTAATCATATCCTTACATGGTATGATATGTGGATAAAAGCTGTTCTGGGAGGTGGGGGACTGTCATGTCGTATTTAAGTCTGTAAATATCAACTGACCTTAGGGTGGGGGAGGTGGTCATACTAACATGTCATATTTAAGTCTATAGAAATTGACTGTCCCTGGGATGGGGTTGGTTTGGTCTGTAGACATGAGTTGTCCTTTGGGTGAGGGTGGTAGAAAAACTTACGTGTCATATTTAGGTCTGTAGACGTCAGATGTCTTCTGGATAGGAGAGGTGGGTGTTGAAAGCCTATCTCCAGAGATGATATCATTATCTCCTTTACCATTTGTGTCCACTACAAAATTAACAGACAGAAATAAAACAAACCTGCTATTGTCTTTGTCTCATTTCATTAAGTCCTTTCTTATACAGGAAGTAGATACACACCTTTAAGACTTCTTTCAGTAATGTTATTTAGACATCCCTACATCTACATAACCTAATTCTTCATCTAATTTTGATTTTATGAGTTCACTATTATGTTAACAGAAAATAATTAATTCTCTCTCAAAAAAAATTGTTAATGCACAGTTTAGTTCAATGAGTATATCAAATCAGATATGACCTGAATTAACAGTGTATGCATTTTGTAATACCCTGGTACAAGTATTGAAGTTTTGGTAAAACACAGATATTTCATTCGACCTTTGAGAGGTGTGAGCTGTGGTTTATCCTGTTCAAGTGGGACATCTGTCTCATCATCCTCAGACTCTGAAGCTTCTCCAGACACTACTGTGGCTGTTTGTTCAGGATCTGTTGTATTCTGATGTAACACAAACACGCATCATAGGTTATAAATGGAGGGATGCTGAATCACATAAGACATGTATTTTTATGGTGGGGAGGTGGGGTGTAATGTAATGAAATATACATGTACCTTACTGTAAAGAAAAAAAAAAAATTTTGTGCCTAGATAAAACTGTGAAATATAGTCTACTAACATTCTACCACATAGTGAAGTACTCACTTAATGGAAAAATAGGGACTGGTCAAACAACCAAATTTAGACAGCATATTCCTTAATTCTATATCATACAGTAATTTTTCATCGCGTGTTGTCTTCTCCATTTATTTGTACACAAAATTGGGAGTAAGGAAAAATGGCGATCCATTGAGATAACAAGGCTGGGATCAGCAACAGCGTTTACATTTTTTAACGTGTACTGCTAATCTAATTCATCACAAGAGACGAACCTTCGTTATTGAAGCATCAACTTCATCGTCGTCCGACTCCGAAGCTTCACCTTGCACAACTGTTGGTATGTTGGTGTCCATCGTAAGTGTCCACCTACTACGAGTCCCCAACACGAAAATGAAACCAGACACGATCTCAGTAACGCTTACTCATTCGATAGAAAACAAACACTTCAATGATTTGAATAGACTTTCTCAAGTTCGTGTTTTAACATTGTGATGACTTTATTTCTGAAGTAAATCAATCGGAATCCATTTGTACACAATATATCCCACTCAGAATCAATAAATACAGAATGATATCACAATAAAAAAAATCATCTATCACAGAATGATACGCATATCAGATCCTATATATACAGTAAGATACCCCAATCAGAACTGAGACGACTAGACAGAACGATATCCTTATCACAACCTGTCTACAACTCAACCAGAAACCGTAGATCACCATGTGATACCCAAATCAGAACCCATCTATCACAGATTGGCACCCAGATCAGAACCCATCTATCACAGAATGGCAACCAGATCAGAACCCATCTATCACAGAATGGCAATCAAATCAGAACACATCTATCACAGAATGGTACCTAAATCAGAACCCATCTATCACAGAATGATACCTAAATCAGAACCCATTTATCACAGAATGGCAACCAGATCAGAACCCATCTATCACAGAATGATACCTAAATCAGAACCCATTTATCACAGAATGGCAACCAGATCAGAACCCATCTATTACAGAATGATACCCAAATCAGAACCCATCTATCACAGATTGGCACCCAAATTAGAACCCATCTATCACAGAATGGCAACCAGATCAGAACCCATCTATTACAGAATGATACCCAAATCAGAACCCATCTATCAAAGAATGGCAACCAGATCAGAACCCATCTATCACAGAATGATACCCAAATCAGAACCCATCTATCACAGAATGGCACCCAGATCAGAACCCATCTATTACAGAATGATACCCAAATCAGAACCCATCTATTACAGAATGGCAACCAGATCAGAACCCATCTATCACAGATTGGCACCCAAATCAGAACCCATCTATCACAGAATGGCAACCAGATCAGAACCCATCTATCACAGAATGATACCCAAATCAGAACCCATCTATCACAGAATGGCAACCAGATCAGAACCCATCTATCACAGAATGTCACCCAAATCAGAACCCATCTATCACAGAATGGCAACCAGATCAGAACCCATCTATCACAGAATGGCAACCAGATCAGAACCCATCTATCACAGAATGTCACCCTAATCAGAACCCATCTATCACAGAATGGCAACCAGATCAGAACCCATTTATCACAGAATGATACCCAAATCAGAACCCATCTATCACAGAATGTCACCCTAATCAGAACCCATCTATCACAGAATGGCAACCAGATCAGAACCCATCTATCACAGAATGATACCCAAATCAGAACCCATCTATTACAGAATGGCAACCAGATCAGAACCCATTTATCACAGAATGATACCCAAATCAGAACCCATCTATTACAGAATGGCAACCAGATCAGAACCCATTTATCACAGAATGATACCCAAATCAGAACCCATCTATTACAGAATGGCAACCAGATCAGAACCCATTTATCACAGAATGATACCCAAATCAGAACCCATCTATTACAGAATGGCAACCAGATCAGAACCCATTTATCACAGAATGATACCCAAATCAGAACCCATCTATTACAGAATGGCAACCAGATCAGAACCCATTTATCACAGAATGATACCCAAATCAGAACCCATCTATCACAGAATGGCAACCAGATCAGAACCCATCTATCACAGAATGATACCCAAATCAGAACCCATCTATTACAGAATGGCAACCAGATCAGAACCCATTTATCACAGAATGATACCCAAATCAGAACCCATCTATTACAGAATGGCAACCAGATCAGAACCCATTTATCACAGAATGATACCCAAATCAGAACCCATCTATTACAGAATGGCAACCAGATCAGAACCCATTTATCACAGAATGATACCCAAATCAGAACCCATCTATTACAGAATGGCAACCAGATCAGAACCCATTGATCACAGAATGATACCCAAATCAGAACCCATCTATTACAGAATGGCAACCAGATCAGAACCCATTTATCACAGAATGGCAACCAGATCAGAACCCATCTATCACAGAATGTCACCCTAATCAGAACTCATCTATCACAGAATGGCAACCAGATCAGAACCCATTTATCACAGAATGATACCCAAATCAGAACCCATCTATTACAGAATGGCACCCAAATCAGAACCCATCTATCACAGAATGTCACCCTAATCAGAACCCATCTATCACAGAATGTCACCCTAATCAGAACCCATCTATCACAGAATGGCAACCAGATCAGAACCCATCTATCACAGAATGGCAACCAGATCAGAACCCATCTATCACAGAATGTCACCCTAATCAGAACCCATCTATCACAGAATGGCAACCAGATCAGAACCCATTTATCACAGAATGATACCCAAATCAGAACCCATCTATCACAGAATGGCAACCAGATCAGAACCCATTTATCACAGAATGATACCCAAATCAGAACCCATCTATCACAGAATGGCAACCAGATCAGAACCCATCTATCACAGAATGGCAACCAGATCAGAACCCATCTATCACAGAATGTCACCCTAATCAGAACCCATCTATCACAGAATGGCAACCAGATCAGAACCCATTTATCACAGAATGATACCCAAATCAGAACCCATCTATCACAGAATGTCACCCTAATCAGAACCCATCTATCACAGAATGGCAACCAGATCAGAACCCATTTATCACAGAATGATACCCAAATCAGAACCCATCTATCACAGAATGGCAACCAGATCAGAACCCATCTATCACAGAATGGCAACCAGATCAGAACCCATCTATCACAGAATGTCACCCTAATCAGAACCCATCTATCACAGAATGGCAACCAGATCAGAACCCATTTATCACAGAATGATACCCAAATCAGAACCCATCTATTACAGAATGATACCCAAATCAGAAGACATTTACCGCAAAATGTATTCTTCAATAATTTTAAGTAGCCTCCAAAAACAATAAAAGTCCTGCTGAGACGTGTCTGCGATAACTTTATTAGTCACGTATCTGGACATCAGTGAATAACTTTGTGTGAAAAGTGAGAAATATTTACTGACCAGGTGCTACACAGCAATACAAGGTATTTTGTATAACCTTTTATCTGTAGCACTACTCTCTGTTACAATAGAAGAACACGGAAGTGGAGCTGGTGATAAGAGGGTAGGGACCAAGATCTATGATGAGAGAAAGAGGGCGAAATATCTCTCTGGTTGGGATGACGAGGGTTGATCATGGGATCTTTCTTATTTTTCTAGTGCGCTATAAGGGACTATCAAACCATAAGAAAAGACCAGTTGTAAGGAGCGAAAACATTGAACGGCTTTCGAGAGTATGGACCATTATGTTAGAAAGATTATTTATACAATGTAACTCTAGAAAACACACACAAGCTAATAACACCTTTCTATACAAATTTAGATTCAGATACAGTGAAATTTAGAATCATACACAGTGAAGTTTAGAATTAAATACAGTTAAATTTAGAATTAAATACAGTTAAATTTAGAATTAAATACAGTTAAATTTAGAATCAGATATAGTGAAATTTAGAATCATATTCAGTAATACAGTAGAGTTTAATAATGAATTAATCTGCATCATGCAAGTGTTTCTTCATTTCTCTCTGATTCACCAGTGATGCCGAGTATCTAGAGTGTTGAAACCAAGATGTCAGGGGAAAGAATCCGTAGAAGGACAGGTGCTATTTTCAATTTTTCTACACTAATTTAGAATTAGATTCAGTAAAGTGAAATGTCTACATGCAAATGAATATAGATACAGTAATACGTTGCGATGTGTCTGATTGGCTTCCCATATAGAGCAGTCATTGTTTTCAGCATTCCTGTTGTCTTTACAGAATATGAAGTAGAACTCAATATGTACGTGTAACTATGCAGTATAGAGTAATCTCGGCCAGGTGCCAAGGTTATATAACGAAATTTCACACCGAGGCGCAAGCTTCAGATGTTACGTCAACAGAATGATAATAATTCGTTTTACTTAGTTTATCAAATAAATTTTATTGCAAACAAAACACAAATGGACTGGACAAAATATATAAAAACTTCCTTACGTTTTTTCAACAAACAAATATAACGCGATTGCATAAGATTAATATCTATATAATATGAAAGAGTTCGAGTTTAAGATGAGGTTACAGCAAAATAGGATAGAATAGGATATGGGACACCGACGGGTATTTAAAATATATGAACGAATAATTTATTGGCGATCACGCGTCGCCATAAGTATAAAACTATTCTGTACACACATTACTTTTCTGCAGTCCATCATATCCCTTGCTGCGAATTGCCTTTCTCCTCTACCACGCCTAGTACCTCAGAGAATACTGGTCCTCCATAGCTAGCCGGTCAGATCAGGAAAACAGACGTGTGTTTTTTATGTTATCTTTACAGCTGAGACATAAATACACAAACTATTCATTAAATATTGATAAACGATTATTTCGAAGTACACACAGTGACCGTTGTTGTGAGAAGTAAGGGTGGGCTAGAATAAGAGAGGAGAGGAGGGAAAGATAGAATAGCTAAAGCATATCGTAACCTGGTTATCTAATCTGTCAGATATTATATAAAGATAAATCGCTTAGAACCAGAAATAATTAGATTGGTCTTATTAGATGAATCTTATCTGGCATTGTAATAAAGAAATAATGATTGTACATCTGTTTGAAGTGACAGCGACAGCTAGTTAGAAAGCTATGTTGTCCCCTTCGTAAGACCAATCCTCATAGAAAAGTATGTCTGTATTAACTTGGCAGGCTGCTTAAGCCGTTTAGATGCAAACATTAGACTTTTTTACGATTTGTTTTGCACCTAGTCAAATATGTACAAGGGTCTATGCGCTCCCTCATCTTGATTAATACCATTTTCGCAACGGCCTTTCCAGACGGCTCTTTCAACCAGCTACGTTAAAGACTGTCCAGTCAATAGTATATTGCCATGTGACACGATCCATCATTGCTGATCTATTGATCTGGAACCTGGAGTACTTCCTTTATGATATGTTCTGATTTCTTATCCTATCTAATTTGTGCCTTTCTCGTGTTTGGACGCCTTATCGCCTTCCAATTCCTTCTTCTGTATATGATCCGTGACATTTTCTGTATTCATTTTATTTCTTAGCGTCTTGTAGGGTTTTAAAGTTGTTGTAATGCCCTGTCCACGGTACACCTTGACCTTTGTAGTTTCAATTACCTTTTTTTTATAGAGGATGAAGACTAAACTTATCATTTTGTTACATCCCCGTTACGTTCAATAAGTCGATCTTTTCCCATTTCGGAGTGCCTAATCATTGAATGATCTCGTTACACCTATGTCTTGGAATATTCCATATTAAAGGATTATGTCAAAGGAAAATGTAGATTTCCATAGGACCAGAGAAGCTGAGCTACATATCATTGGAAAGAGAGGAAACAATATAATCTGATGACAATCATCTCTTAAATTTTATCTCAAATTTGAGATATCTGTCTGCACCTTACATGATACAAAATACCTAGTGTTTTATTGTTTTCATGTTCTCTCTGGCGGTGGTATCCAAACTTGAAGCCATTTAACATTATTTCCATGGCCTAAAACGGGATTTTTTAAATGGAAATCTAATTATCTAACAAATTCTCCATTTCTTCCGACCACGTTTTGATACAGAATCAATGTCCTTACTTCTCGATATACATAGCTTAAGTGACCTATTTCTATCACCCGATATACCTAGCTAAAGTGACCTTTTTCTATCACCCGATATACATAGCTTAAGTGACCTTTTTCTATCACCCGACATACATAGCTTAAGTGACCTATTTCTATCACCCGATATACATAGCTAAAGTGACCTTTTTTATCACCCGACATACATAGCTTAAGTGACCTATTTCTATCACCCGACATACATAGCTTAAGTGACCTATTTCTATCACTCGACATACTTAGCTTAAGTGACCTTTTTCTATCACCCGATATACATAGCTTAAGTGACCTATTTCTATCACCCGACATACATAGCTTAAGTGACCTATTTCTATCACCCGACATACATAGCTTAAGTGACCTATTTCTATCACCCGACATACATAGCTTAAGTGACCTATTTCTATCACCCGACATACATAGCTTAAGTGACCTATTTCTATCACCCGACATACATAGCTTAAGTGACCTATTTCTATCACCCGACATACATAGCTTAAGTGACCTATTTCTATCACCCAATATCAAAGCCAGTGCTGCTCATGACGCTCTTTCTTGTGGCACGGAATCGCGAACTAAACCGATTCACTAAGTCTGTCCGATTGTTTCCTTCATGTAAGGAAATTAATCGTTCATATTCTCTTTTAGCCTCCTTGCTGATTTCCTTTATTCTGTCGATTTCCTGGATCTTTACCAATACTTCCATATAACTAAGGTAACAATACAATGGAAGCTGGTACCCTGGGATAGCCGATTGAACTACCTGCGTTATACCTATAGCCTTCTCCCATACGTCTACAGACTCTCTGTACCGTCCCTGCATCACATACGACCCTGCCAGTAGTTCCAACATTTCCATGACGTTTACGTTTCTGGGAGTTTCGACATCACGTATTTTCAGAACCTCAAGGAAGTAGGGAATAGCAGTATTGTAATTTCGAATTCGATGGTTCATCCGACCTAAGTTTTCTAAAGTCGCCAGACGGCCTATCCCATGAACCCCCGGGGTCCTTGCCAGCGTCAATTCTGCTTGGTAGAGCATCTCCATGGCAATTTTATTGTCTCCATGTGCAGATTTCTGTAGTGCCACGTTGTTAAGAGATGCGACAATGGCTTGCACACCCTCTTTTAGCCTCGTTCTGATGTCGAGTGCCTCTGAGAAATATTCAAGTGCCGTGTCATAGTCTTGATTTGTTTGTTTTAATGAGCCCAAACTGTTGTAACACTTTGAGGATATTCTATTAAACTTTGTCCCAAATCTTCTGATACTTCTGCTTAAAGCTTTGTGCAAACAACTCTCTCCTTCCTCGCGGAGTTCTATAACAAAGGTAGGTATATTTATAATGGTAGGTCGTGTCATGGAACCACACTGTTGTACCATATATCATGAAATAAAAAACTTGTTAACAAAACTACCAAAATGCTTTTCTAAATGTCCCATTTTGAATCCGCGTGTATCATAACGACCTATACCAAATGGGATAAAACACAGAATTTAGAACAGAATCCTCATCTACATGTATTACGTGTATTTATTAAATGGAGTTTTCGTGTAAAAAAGACGGGTCATTAAACGTCTAGATCAACTGGGCATGCTTTTTTAAAGAGTGAAACTACATGCATTGCAAATAAATCGAAATTTAGACTTTAAACGATAAAACTGGGGCAACATTTGAACATGAAAATGTATCGATAAAACATCAAAAAAAGAAAAATATGAGGAATAAAGAAAAAAGACAGGAGATAAGTGAGAGTACAAATGTGTCTTACCTGCCAGTCCGTACACCCTGCCAAGGTTAATCAGAGTGTCCAGGATTGGGTCCTCATCGTACATACCGAGTTGGTCAGCTATATGAAGGGATACTTGTAGAGCTCTGACGAAACAATGGCAGCGTATGTCATGTGTTCATTAAATCTTAATATTAAATATTGGTTCGGAATATTTTGCTTATCTGTTCTCTGCAACTCGAATGGTCAATTTACAATCACAAGTTCAATTAAGTTAATCTTTTTTAAACTTGATTTTGTTTTCCTTCTAAAGCTTTCATGTTTGCATTCTGTTGCATGAATATGTTATAAAAATTGGCGTAATATGTACATTTTCATTATTTGTTGCAAGAAAACAAAAATATAGGACGTATTTGTTATATTAGCCACGTGTAAAACATACTCCAGCGCCTCAGCCTTCCGAGACTGATGGTTAAGGTTTTCCCCAAGGTTTGAGTAGATAGTCACGTGTGTTGGACTGAGATCGCTGTCGCCCAGAAGTGCTAGACTTGTTCTGTAGTTGCTCTCCGCCTCAATAAACTTTGCCTATAGTGAAATGATGGTAACATTACAAAGAAGAATGCAAAATCCAACCGTTGTTTTTTGCATATTTAAAACCAAACAGTTAGGTACTCATCAAAATGATACTGAAAACCAAGAGAAATCCATTTTGAGGCAAGTAACTGTTTTGCCTGAAGATTGAAATGAAAAACGGATATACCCTTTCTACTGTCAGCATTTTGCCGAATCCACCTCTGAGTATAGCCTCGTCCTCTGGTTTGCCAAACTGTGGGGTTATCTCCAAACATTTTCTGTAAAATGAGACACTCTCCTCTGAAACGTAATTAATTTTTCATGGTTAAATCAGAAAATATCATTCTGTAGAGGCTGTATGATGGCATGGTAACAGTAACAACGAATACGTCATCGGTTTGTGTAATATCCATAAAGTTAGCACGGATTAATTCCAAAGAGTGAGGAAACGGAGCTATATATATATGAAGGACATTATTGTAAAGGTATTTTCAGCGACATTGGAATATAGTTAACTAAAATTATTATCGGATATCATGAATAAAAAATGTTTTTTAACCTCCCATATAGTTGTGCAGAAGTTGCGTAGATGACGTCACGAGATCCACAAACACGTGGTATGTATCACCAGTACTGTATTCTACATCACTGAGAAGCTTCTGTAGATTTGGAAAGTCATGACTGAGTTGTTCAAGTGCTTGTGTGTACTCTGTTGTGTCGAGTTTGGAGCTGATGTTCTTGAGCACATTGCCAAATACACGACAGTATCGATCTCGCACCTCTGTCATATGAAAACAAGAAATGATTGCGGTGTTTTAGGTTGACACAAGATATCAGTATAGGTTTCAGATAATTTCAATCAGATTTTTAATTTATTGTAAATACGAAAACCATTCATTGTATTTTCACATACTTTTCTTATCACAAATGATATTAGATAGTCGAATGCAATCTTTCAGTATGCCATATATGTTGTATCGCCCTGCTGATTGGTCAAAACTGAGGATATGATGTCCTTGTAGGTAGTCCAAAGTATTGTTGAGGTCTTGCCGTCGGAGATTCAAAGGTAGTGATGAATCTTCTGCTGTCGTAATATTATCTGTACAAGTACAATAAACTGTTAAATTTAATTTATCATCAGAAATAATCTTACACAAAATCAGTATTCATGTTTCACGTTGGTTTTGAAATTCTTGTTTTGTTATTGGTATGGTCAAATCGTTAATATATATATATATATGAAAATGCTTGCATGAGAAGACCTCATAGCGTTAAATCGTTAATATATATATATATATATGAAAATGCTTGCATGAGAAGACCTCATAGCGTTACATCCTTTTATCTAAAAGCTATTCATAATTAATACTTAAAAGGGTTGTTCAACGTATGTTTGAAATTGTAATTTGATTATACCCGAGACAATGCTTTATAACTTACATATCATTCCACGAGCTTGTTCTAACTGAAATGAAGCTGGAATATATTCCAAGGCTGCGAGTCGTTGTTGAAAAAGGGCAGATAACTGGTTGATCAGCTTAGTAAATACATAGCCTGAAAAATAGGTTTGATTTGACTAAGATAGCTCTGAAACTGTGTCTTCGTAAATAATATCATAAATAATCAGAAATCCGGTGTTCAATGTAAATATATCATTTATGAATTTATGCGCAACCGTTTCCTCGTGATAGTGGGATTTGACAAATTCTCTGGGTGAGTTTAGTTTACTGGATAGGAGTATAAGTGACACACTGTAAGATATCTACATCGTTGATGAGAATCCTGAAGATACATTTTTCCATATTTTCATTTGTTATCCTCGTAAAATGCGTTAAATAGAAACATTCATTACTATAATGTAGTGATTTTTTAATATTTTGATATGTATTTGTATTGAGATATTTTTTATCAAAGGAATCGTTTTTAAGATGAGATTGAATCATACCTGAACATAATGTTATTGACCTAAATTGACAATGACGCAGTTACACAACACAGGTAGTTGTTAGAGATTGTGACAGGTTGAACAAATGTTAGTGAGCATATAAGTACCTCAGTTGATAGCCTATGTAAACGATCATAAATAGAGAAAAAAATCCACGATGTGTTTGCTCTTCGTGTTTATTGCTTAAAACGCTTAACGTTTACAACCTTGCAAAATAGGAATCAAATTGCAATGTTTTCTTTTACACTCCTTTTCGGGGTAATATCGGTTATACAAAGGTCAAACTAAGAACCATATCACAAACTAGAGATTTTTTTAATAAACTCTTTTTGTGCTTAAATATTTCATTAGATCACATGTTATCTGGTAGAAAATAATACATTTATGTATTTGTATAAATATAAAAACAATAGTTTAACATGGCAAATAAAAATTCTAAATTACAATCACCAATTTTTTCAAGCCTTGTGGCCATCTCAATCGTATATATTTTTAAGTTACAATTTGAAACTAGAAGTTTACACTGTAAACAAACTAGATGCTCCGGTATACAATTTTTTGACATGCGTCATTTTACGTGCCCTTTTATCTATGCGCATTGCTATGAAATGGTACAGCTTACTTTGAAGTCAAAATAGTTGGTTTAAAAATGAGAAAAATGAGGGGGGACCGGGGGGGATGGGGGGAAGGGCTTCTTACCAGGTTTCTCGTCTGCTGGATAAAACTCATTACTGAGATACTCTATTCTAGAGGCTGTCAGCAGCATAATCATCTCATCCGCAGTGTAATCGCCTAGTTGTGTACCTAAAAACATGAACGATTGAGATCATGATACCGATCTGACACCTATCTATTAAGATATCTAGTTAGAGAATATCATCATAGTTTTTTGGTTATACTGTTCCGTGTCTGATATGAACCCTCTGTAGTTCATTTCACTCTTTCTCTATTCCATGGCTGTAATGCTGTAAGATACAAACTCTATGCAATAAGCTGTCTACATTTCATTCGAAACCTTAGTATAAAATACATCAACACATCAAATGACAATACCTATCATTTGTAGAGCGAGCGGAAGACCTTCACACAGAGCGGCCATTTTCCTCAAATTTGCAGCACTCTCCTCTGGGACGATGTGATAAAGGAAAATAAACGATTCGTCCTTGTTGAAAGGTGAAAGATCCCGAAAGAATCCAAGATGACGTTCCGCTTCCGGTATATCTACATAAGATGTTACAATGATATGTAAATGAACTGACTTCTGGGTAAGCGTCAAGATGAAGTTGATAAAAGCCGCGTATTCGTCACTCTCGATGACTTTCTCACAATTATCAATTATCATAACCATTTCATGGTCAAGGTCACGAATAAACTCTGCAATCAAAGAGGCTGCCTGATTCATATTTCCCCTCAAACTGTCGTACATCTTTAGCTCGCTAAGAACCCGCCGATACAGATGAAACATGGGCCTGACCTTTGGAAGCTGCCGAACAATTACCTTTGATGTGTTCATAGTCCTTTCCTGAAAACGTCTGGTTAGCTCTAGTGCTGTCCTGCTCTTTCCTACGGATTTCAAACCAAATATTCCCATAAATTTATGATCATCCCAGGCTTCCTCGAAGAGCAATAGGAATTCCTCTCTTCCCACAAAAGGATGACTTATGGAATCCGACATGGTTGCTATATGTGGACATAGACAATATCACAATATGTATTTTTGTCCTTGATTAGATATACAACAATGAATGTCGTTCGTATATAATATACATTCCCATACACGGTACGGACGTTACGACATGTGATCAATAGTCTGTTGTTAAATTAACCAAGCGTTAAGGTGTTCGGTTACCTGTACTGCACTGAACTGTATGCATGTACTTGCGAATAAAAGGGTATCCCTATATATTTGTTTTTCTCTGTTACAAACATCTATAATATAAGCAGAATGACATTACTATAATTTTAGTAATGCCTTAAAGTCACCTCCATCTTAATTTGTGACAGATAAGCCTCTGCAAAACAGGTGAAAGAGAAAATAAACTTGACATGATATAGATATACAGATCAAAGAGTCAATACTGGATACATACATACTAGTAAAACCGACGGACAATTAACTCGTATTTCCCACAAACCACCGACGAAAAGAGGACAAAAATGGTCTTATTCCTCGCAACAGTCATTTGACGAAGGTCTCCACGGATGATGGGATTCCCAGTGACGATTATACAGTGCCTTCACAATGTTATGTCAACCTGTGATAGTAGCAGCATATCCCAACCGATCTCATTATACTATCAACGGGCTCACACGGCCATGTAATTCCTCTTTAATGCTAAACGAAAGACAACGACAACAAGTACTATTAAGTTTTGTACGTCCTGGTATAGGAACAAACCCCATAGCTTTCTTTACATGGGCAGACGTTCACCACAACAGAAAATATCTGAAGAGACATTTGAACAATATAATCTTTATAAAAAAAGGTAAACGAAGATATCATGTTCAGTCTTCTCATACTATCACGCATACATGTCAGCAAACACAGTTCTTACGATCTATTTGCAGGATGAATTCACCAGACAGGAGAGTTTATTTTCCTTCGCTGGCGACCCAAAAATTAAGATCTTTCTTTGATTTAAATTTGAAGCAATGACTGCCGAAAATAACATTTTGTCAGTGAACAATGTGTTTGATTGTTCTTCATGTCTTTGTTACCCAGTTTTGTTTAGTGGTGAAAATTGCAATCGTCAAGTATTGTATAAAAATCGTTTTCACGGTCAAAACTAATCAGGAGTATAAGATCAGGCAGGCAATCAAGTGTAATTATTGGAGAAATCGTACTGCCCTGGAAACAACCACGACAGAAGATTGGGGCTTGTGATATCAGCTTACCACACAAACCTTCAAATAATCATCAGTTTCGTGATCCGTAGTAAAAAGTTCCATAAACATTCATAATGAATATGAATTCGAAACAAATTTCAGCTTCTATCTATCACATAATTCATACTTCCTCAAACATTCGTTAAAGCAGCGTTTGATCAGTCTTATATATCGTTCTCACCGCATAGTTATTTCTCAAACTCAAATAGCGCCCATCTGTTACAGCAATATTCCCCAGTCAAATACCATCTATTATAGAACTATTCCCGGGTCAGAACCCATCAGTATATTATAGAACTATTCCCCAGTCAAATCCCATCAGTATATTATAGAACTATTCCCCAGTCAGATCACATCTATTATAGCATTATTCCCCTTCTACGACAGACACGGAGCACATATATTAGTATACCTGTAATGGAAATATAATATTTCTGTATAACATCGAAGGTTTCCTTATAAGACTTCCTCATAGTCCTGATTTTAATCTGCATCACTTAACACAAAAATATGTGTAGTTTTTCTATCGTTCGTAAGAATCTCTCACGGAATTTATAATATTTTGAAGGTTCCTTTGGATATAGAATAATCTGTGATCTGCAGATTCTGCAAAGAAGATTCTGCAAGGAAATTGAAATCAATACGCTGGTTTGTTTGTAAATGTCACATTCTCATTTGCATTGTTTATCAATAAGTCTTAATTAGTTGAGACATTTCAGCTGTGAATAGTTATTTATAATCACAACAAGATGTTTTCTTCGTCAATATTTCCTTGTGTTTAATGTTTTGATCCTCGTTTACCTTTCTGGTGTTCCATTTTAGGACATCTGACCCGAAGAGTTCTAATGAAATACCAGTTATAACTCTTGTGTTTTCCCCTATCATCGTCCGTTGCCTTTGCCTAGCGTGCCTTTTACACTTTTAAAGCTCCACTGTTACGATTTAGATGAAACTTGACTCGAACGATTTTCCTGGCCATGTGTTGTTATTTTCAAATCAAAGGCTATCCCTATGGCCGCCATCATGAATAACACTGTTAAAATTAATCTTCCTTGTAGTTCAAGGTGTCGCACTGAACTGAAATTCGACGAATGATGTTTAGGGACAGATAAAGTGTTGTTGGCCTGGTTAGATAACGAGCATTTTTGCACAAACTTGCACAAACATGGTTTATCTAAACAAAACACATTCAGCTGAAATCATTGGGGATGTTAAGTATTCCAAGTCGTAAACAAAGTGATGTTATTGTCTCAAATTTGTCATTACATTCGTACATGATTTAATAGGAACTTGCAAGGACAAATATCCAATAACAAACTGCTGATACAAGGTAAGCTTTTATTACTGACGTGATTGTTCCCAACACTACTGGGCAGATGACCGCTAAGTTTTGTTTTGATCAGTCTGAAGATGTTTATATCATTCCACATGATTTGATGTTTTGTCAGTTCTTATTTTAATTGTGGGATCCTAAGCACCAAAAGGTAGCATGGTTTTAACACAATTGGTCAATGCCTTGCAGTAACGTTCTATAGTATACCATCAACCATGGAAAGATAATAACGGATTTACCACAATATCAACCATGGAATGATGATAACGGACTTACCACAATATCAACCATGGAATGATGATAACGGATTTACCACAATATCAACCATGTAAAGATAAGAACGGATTTACCACAATATCAACCATGGAAAGATAATGATAGATTTACCACAATATCAACCATGGAATAATGATAACGGATTTACCACAATATCAACAATGGAATGATGATAACGGATTTACCACAATATCAACCATGGAAAGATAATGATAGATTTACCACAATATCAACCATGGAATGATGATAACGGATTTACCACAATATCAACCATGGAATGATGATAACGGATTTACCACAATATCAACCATGGAATGATGATAACGGATTTACCACAATACCAACCATGGAATAATGATAACGGATTTACCACAATATCAACCATGGAAAGATAAGAACGGATTTACCACAATATCAACCATGGAACGATAAGAACGGATTTACCACAATATCAACCATGGAAAGATAATGATAGATTTACCACAATATCAACCATGGAATGATGATAACGGATTTACCACAATATCAGCTATCGGATAAAATCGATATTAATGTCTGCATACAATGACAAAGTAATACAAATAAAAACATAACACTCGGTCTCCACATAGAGGGAAACAATACGCTAAGAACTGAGGTACAAAGTTGTAACCGTGTATGAGTTATTTCCCTTTAACCCTTCCGTGTATATTTTACTACTGCGTGAATAGTTATAACACATATACCAACGCCACTAGTTTGAGCATTATACCAGGATAATAAATGGACCTAAGTGAGCAAGCAAGGCAATGGCAGCAACCAGCTTCCTAAATCTAACCCAACGTTACCAGGATAATAAATGGAACTAAGCGAGCAAGCAAGGCAATGACAGGAACCAGCTCTCCAATCCAACCCAACGTTACCAGGATAATAAATGTAACTTAGTGAGTATGCAAAGCAATGACAGGAACCAGCTTCTCAAACCAAAACAACGTTGCCAGGCTAATAAATGAAACTTAGTGAGCAAGCAAGGCAATGACAGGAACCAGCATCGAATTCATCCCAATTTGACCGGGGCAATAAATGGAAGTTAATCACCAGGAAAAGGAACGAGAGGAACCCGCCTCCAACCCCAATCACAACAGCTTCACCAATATACCAAGGCAATTAAAAGCAACGACAGGGATACCGATATTCTATACATTAGCAAACAAAAGGTTATACATAAAGTATATGAAAATATTCCAATCAAAGATGTAAGGTCTAAGGCATCTCCCCATCTAGATTTTAACAGTTGTTTAAGTTTTTTTCAGTTTTCCGCTGTCGCCTCATATGTTTCAAAATTTCGGGCCTTAGCAACACTAATGAGTCCTAGAAGGATGGAGGAGATAAACGATTCAGATGGATTCACTGTTTGACGGTGTTTTTTTCCAATTCTTTGTTAAATATATGGTTGTGAACTTTACTGAAGCGTTGTTCGTGAAAATATGTCCAAATCAAAGAAGGAATAAAAAGATGGCGAAATCATAAAAGGCCGAGTTTCTGATGGACAACATATTCGTCGAGTTGGCTGGGAAGATATGGGAACTAACTTGTCCCTCTGTTGAGTGACTTGTTTTCATTTTCGTACATGGCAAATTTATCGAAGAGCTGCCTCTGCGACGTCATTTATTTTCACTTTCACATACATTGTTGACGTCTTATCTTTAGATAACAAAAAATTTATTGACCATGCCCATCGTATGACCCCGACAGAATTAAAAATCAAAGACACGACTGCCTCTTCTTCATCATCTGCTAAAGCTTTTCACCAAATTGTATGATAAGCGTTAGGATTTCAATATTCCTATTGTGAATATTCCATTTCTTGCTATCAACATCCCTGCATCCCCAACATATCGTGTTTGCATGTCGCAGTTGATTCGATATTCGAGGTCCTGTTCTCATTATCATGATTTTTGTGCAAGAAGTTGTCGACTGGCGGACAAACAATTCTAACTGGGAATCAAAAGATACAGGTTGATGGAAATTGTGGGGTTTTTATGGTCGTCAAAGTGATCTCATTGAGAATTTTTCCATTTTATGAAGCTGGACGTGTTTGATGTTCATTTGTTCGCCTGTTGGTTCCGTTGTTGTATACCTTGTTCTCATTTGAGAACCAACATTACTTACTTGGATTGACCAAGTTTTACATGGTGGGAGTCCTCGATGAAGCATAAAATGCTTACTCATCCGGAATTCCTGATTTTATTCTTCTTGTACTTTTCATGAGTCTTCGTGTAAATTTTTCTTTGTTCATATTTAGCCCTTGTTATATTGGATCAGAGTTTGAATTGTGGTTATATTGACATTTTTTCCCTTTTGTGCTATTCACTTGTGTGTCTTGTATAATCTTCTTCATTTTATGTTCAGGATAGGTATAACATATCATTGGATGTCAAATGATATGAAAATCAATTAAGATACGAGTATCGATCTTGATATGAAATAAGAATTCCAAGATTCCCTCTTCACAGTATACCATTGTTCTGTTTTGGATCATTTTTAAGATTATACCAAAATATTAACGAAAGCAAATGAAGATGAATCAATTATCATCTATTGAAGTCTTCTGTCTGTGAGTATCCTGGTAATGTCGGACGGTATATTGTTATGAACAAGACTCTGGGAGGCCTAGGGAATTAACTGATAGGAAAGAATTCGGAAATTACTATAGCAGACCTGTTTCTGGTCTTTGTAATGCCCCAGTCTATAAATGTTAATGTTCATATACCTATATATATACATATATCTAGTATTGATCACCTTGATAACTGCTTTGATTTTGTTGAAATTTATTGTTGCGTGTTAAGTAAATGTCGGCATGTTATTTGGTATGCATGTGTGATTTTTCTGCATATACTAACATCAAGTACGTCATGAGAAATCAACATCTGAACGTTATGGCGCGTTACACGTATAATGAGGAGAATGCGAATTCATTACAACGACCACACTTGCATGGTTTCTTTTCATCAAGATAGAAGACGATGACATGAAGAAATGATTACGGAGATTTTGTGATACTGGCACTGTACAATGCTAAATCATCACCCTAGTGTACTCCGTCTCTAGCAAAGCTTCTCATCGATCATGATCAAAAGACGAAGTAAACAACAGGAACAGGTGAGTACACAAATCATGCACCAACAAAGACAATTTGGTTTTTGTCTATTATTTAATACTTTTTACTCCGACCACTGTTTCATTCATCACAGGATCCCAATATTGAGACTTTTAAAGAAAATTTTTAGCATTTTATAGATACAGTAATAGATAAAAGTTTATTACCAGTCAACTTATAATAATTATAAAAAAATACATATTTATATATATAAACAAAATTATTACGGATTACGTAACAATTATCGCTGAAACACGACTACAGAAGTAACCGTGATCAATATGTTGTTACCCGGTTTTGGCAGAATAAACAAGTATTGCATGTCTAAAAACAACAGAACACATCACAAACAACACTTTTATCAGATGTTAAAGCTCATGTAATCCTGTCCATCTTCGTGGGGAGGTTAGTTGACAATGTTTTATTCGAGTTTCAGAAGGTAAGTAACAATGTATTAACGATATAGTACCGCAAAGAATTATAGTCTTTCCTAATTCTATTGTGTGTCGTTCGCACAGTCCATACCGTTGGTGATTGGAATGAGAAGTGGAACTCATCTCAAACAGAACGTCCACTTCCGGTAGTCCGGGAACTAACTATCATTAGTCTTAGCTTGAGACCAATATTGACGATTTAATTTCTATCTACATAACAAATAGTCTGCCACATATTGGTGATGTAACACTTCTAACAGACATACCATCCCGCCATGTTTGTCCGTATGACACAAACAAGAACCACATCAGTAGACATTCTATATAACTTTTCGGAAGTAAAATGTCCGGGTACAAATCACCAACTTGTATGGATGACAATTTTTAGTATTTAAAGTGCTAAATAGCAAACCGACAGAAGTAATAGCTTTTTATGTATCGGCTTTTACTGGAAATCAATAAAATTAATCCCTACCAATATCCCTATGGTAAAAGCCCGCTTGTAGCTCTAAGGACACCTTCGATCCAGGCTAGTATCCTACTGAGCGCATGCGTGAAAGTGTAAGCGTGCTTGCCAACGAAAAATCGGATTATCGCGTAACCTACTATGATAAAACATATACCCGTGTACTAGCCATAGGTCGAATCTCGACAGAGAGAAAATTCCTTACGACAATATACAGTGAGAGCGGTGGCTATCTACCTGATTTAAGTTAGATATGAACTGATTTACCTGTACAGGTGAAGGAGAAAAGATGCCAAAGGATAAGTTAAATGAGCTGGTATGTTGGTGAATTACACAGATTGATAATACCAGAGACATGACATGTCACAGTATAGTCATCTCGAGACAGGTTTGGAGGTGGATAATGGTCAAAAGGTGTCAACTGTGTGACTGCTAGCTGGAGAAGGTTGCTAACTTTCTACTTATCATTTTCAATGTGATATTAGGATTATTAGTGTTATAACGAACACTGTATCAGAAAGTGAGGAAAGTGCCTCTCTATTGAATAAAAGTCGTCATTTTCACTTCATCAAAACGGACCTGTACCTTCTGTGTCTGACCCAAGATCAAAATGTCCGAAATGGAGGTGCTACGACCTTCACCTGTGGATTCAGGTGTCGCCTATGATAAAAAGGACATCCGGGCTGCACTTGCCGCACACAATGCTCAGAAACAGAAAGCTGGTTACAGTCAACAATCGGCGCCTCTCAAAGACAGTCCGCGGATAATGGGATTCAGAAGACGGGCCGTGAAGGGCCTGTCTCCCATGTCCATGAACAGTGATAGTCCCAGTTTTACGACGGGATCCTCACGGACTATGTACGGTTCCAGTATCACCCCTCTCAAGAGTATCGTCAGTGAAAGCCCTTATACATCCATATGTCAACAAATTCTACCAACAAAAGACTTACCGATGATCAGTAAATCTGCTCCCCTTATCCAGGATGTAACACCGAGTTGGAGAGGATCTTCAACCAACCCAAAGGTATGATGATAGTTATGTATTATTTAACATGCTTTGAAGTGTAACTACTTAGAACACATATGTTTAAATGTGCATTTTTGTTAAGTTTAGATCCAATGTACTACCCACATTGATCTTTCATTGTTATTTCTTAATGACCTAACTCTGTAAAAAAAATAAATAATAATATAACGACACACATTCTGATATTAAAACGCACCTAAGAAATATTTCATGCCTGTATGTATTGTCCTCTGTAAATGGTTGTCTCTATGTCGGCGAATTTTCACCTTTCACACCAGTGAGTAATTCAGGGATTTCTCCCGGCAAAATCAATCTATGTTCTTCCGACTTCAATCTGTAATTAAATCTTATCACTGAGACATCAAAGGAGGCCTTAATGTTATGGATGACCACTCTACTTTCCGATAGCCGACGGTGTGAAGTTTGCTGACCCTAACATGTATTTCTTATTTCTCCAGTGTGTATTGGTTGTATTCCACTGACCAGCGTTCGATTGTGACCATTATCGATAAATCTTATTCATGGTTCAACTTTAAACGTCTTCAACAAAGGATAACATTTAGACAAATATTTAACAGTCCCTTCCAACAGCACCCTTGCATAAACCCGTCAATAATTACCCCCCCCCTCCCACTATCAACCCACCCACACACCTTTAGCGTTCCTCTCATCCTACAAACATAACATTTCAAACATTACACTAGACACTAGGATTTCACTGACAAATATTTAACTCCTTCACACAAAAAAACAGCCTCTTTCCTAAACCCAACAACAATGCACTTCCTCCGAGGAACAAAAACATTTCATTGATTTAACAAACACTTTATACCTTCAAACTCATTAGCTTTTACTTTCCTATACCTACAAGCAATTCATTCCTTAACACATACACATACATTTTCGCTTACATATTGTTCAACTCAGGTGTTTTGTTAAACTAGTATCCATTTCGTACCATTGACTTTCAAACCACGTATTTTCCGTGAATAGACATCGGTTACATGTTTATATGAATAATTTTACAATATTTATGCATCTTTCCCGAACAAATCCAGACATGTTTCAGACAAGTTATACTACTATATCATAAGGAAGTTTATAGAACGTCCATATGGAGTATTTTCTGCTATCTCTGATAATTATACAACAGACACGATAAGTAATAAAGTCGAAAGATCCCAGATATGGGTCTGATAAAAGTTTAGTCGAGAAAACATTCATGAATCCTTGTCCTAGGTAGAGCAATTATCACCGACTTACTAACATTTGATAGAAGGGGACAGAAAAGTACATATAGCAGCACTTTCTTATCATACACAAAGACAGACGCCATTCACTATTACAGATGTTGTGACAAAATTTTCCGAGTGAACGATTACTGTGTATACGGATTATAATGTTAGTTTATGTCATTGACGGGACATTGACATCACCGAGAATGTCGTATTTTATTCGAGTAATAGAGTATATGTGTAAATACGTCCCCCAGACTTTTATCTCAGTCCCAACAATACCATCACACATTACCGTTATACCGTCAATCGAAGTTTATTTCACAGTTAATAACGACAAACTAATCGTGATTGATATATTGGTCGAATCGTCATATTATCAAGGTTTGAAAGTGTACTCTGGATTACGGTATTGCTGTAAGCCTTAAAGTCGATGATAAAATTTCTTCTGTGTACTGATGTGATACGAACGTAAGCATGCATGATTTCAACCTCACTCAGTGGATTACGAAGTCAATGTTTTGAATGCCAGTCCACATTATGTATGCGACAGGAGAACTGAGGTCGCTTCGACTTGGCGAATGACATCATAATCACCCATCCATATCGCAGAAACGATAAAACATTAAAAAAGATAAAACAGAAAACAGACCGGTTCGTTCTTATTCCGAGAAATACTTATAATATAAAGGCAAACCATGTGCTAATTAAGGGACGCGCTGTGTAAAGATCGTTTATAAATGGCTGTGAACAGTTTATAAAGAATTTCAGCGAGTTAAATCACATTTGTGGTGCGTATGTTTTCATATTCTAAAAATAGAAAAACACGACGAGCAGTCTTAATATATTCATATCATGATACTAATTAACACACATAGCGATAATAAAACAAGAATTTTGGTTATAAAAGTTACCAAGAACGCTCGTAGGAATGGAGACATGAACAGCCAAGCCAGGAACCATGTTTTGTTCTGCTCGTGGCGTTCGTGAACTAAATCCATGTAAAGTACGGCTAGGTCACTAAAGAGTTAGGACAAGGTGAATTGGTCAACTATATGTTTAAAAGGGGAAAAATAAAGAAGATTAGTCTTGCCTGTTGATTGACCCTAATTCGTAAAGGCGCGTGATTTGTACAAATATTATACAACATTACTGTAAGTCAGGGTATGTCGACACTTGACCATTGAGGTTACTAGGTCAATTTACTGCCAACTTACTTATATACTTATCTATATACATAGATCAACACGATATACTATTACGTCATTACCACAGTTAAACATATAGATCTCTCTGATTAATGTACAACAGAAAAATAAGTTTTGTAAAACCAATGCGTACTGAGCTTTGATATCGAGCGAAATATTGTTACGAGAAATTTAGACATGATAGTGACCTGTACCAGATACTGTAAAGTATATTATATTATTATATTATTGATCAGTTATATTTTAACAGTGATGGAGAGGGGAGTATTTTCAACGGCGACATCAATCCCAATTCGTTTAGAATAGATAATGCTTTTCTCGGTATCATTTTGATTTAGCTATCACAATTGAAGCGTAAGAAACATTTCTACAGTAGAACGGTATAGGCTGTAATTTAATTCCACAAAGTTCTGAGAGCTACAATGGAATGCTATCCTGACAGTAATGTGATCAGACAGGCATATTATAGTGGTAATGATTCAGGAACAATACGCTTTATTTAGAAAACGATAATCTATTATTTGTATCAGCTTTCCCATACTGAGTTTTAAATAGTGTAAATGTATAAGCAGAAACGTTGTCAGTTTAACTGTTGTTGTCATCACACAGCAAGCCGCATTGTGAGTAGTGTAAGCCTTAATTTAAATACTAGATATGTCTACTCATAAATACTTATAAAGGCCTTTGTATCTATTAACCATTTACTATTTAGTTTATTTCAACAGTGGTCGATCAGGATTTAAGTTTATTGCTCAACATTGCCGTAGTCCTATAAAACAAGGAGCTCAAATGACCGCGATTAAATACCACTAGACATTTTTTTTTACTATAATCACATTCAAAGGTTGACTTGTTGTCGCTAACCACCATTTATAAACAATTTCTTGTAAGTATAAAGGAGATATTTGTATAATGTAAAATTCACAGTACCCATAACTTGCTAACGTTATAAGATATTTCTCATTGTCCTGCTGGTCGTAAGAACTCTGGCTACAGTCCTCTCTGTCCGATCATAAGAACTCAGGCTACAGTCCTCTCTGCCCGACCATAAGAACTCTGGCTACAGTCCTCTCTGTCCGATCATAAAAACTCAGGCTACAGTCCTCTCTGCCCGATCGTAAGAACTCTGGCTACAGTCCTCTCTGCCCGATCGTAAGAACTCTGGCTACAGTCCTCTCTGTCCGATCATAAAAACTCTGGCTACAGTCCTCTCTGTCCGATCATAAGAACTCAGGCTACAGTCCTCTCTGCCCGATCGTAAGAACTCTGGCTACAGTCCTCTCTGTCCGATCATAAGAACTCTGGCTACAGTCCTCTCTGCCCGATTGTAAGAACTCTGGCTACAGTCCTCTCTGTCCGATCATAAGAACTCAGGCTACAGTCCTCTCTGTCCGATCATAAGAACTCAGGCTACAGTCCTCTCTGCCCGATCGTAAGAACTCTGGCTACAGTCCTCTCTGTCCGATCATAAGAACTCTGGCTACAGTCCTCTCTGTCCGACCATAAAAACTCTGGCTACAGTCCTCTCTGTCCGATCATAAAAACTCTGGCTACAGTCCTCTCTGCCCGATCATAAGAACTCTGGCTACAGTCCTCTCTGCCTGATCGTAAAAACTCAGGCTACAGTCCTCTCTGCCCGACCATAAGAACTCAGGCTACAGTCCTCTCTGCTCGACCATAAGAACTCTGGCTACAGTCCTCTCTGTCCGATCATAAAAACTCAGGCTACAGTCCTCTCTGCCCGATCGTAAGAACTCTGGCTACAGTCCTCTCTGCCCGATCGTAAGAACTCTGGCTACAGTCCTCTCTGTCCGATCATAAGAACTCTGGCTACAGTCCTCTCTGCCCGATCGTAAGAACTCTGGCTACAGTCCTCTCTGTCCGATCATAAGAACTCAGGCTACAGTCCTCTCTGTCCGATCATAAGAACTCAGGCTACAGTCCTCTCTGCCCGATCGTAAGAACTCTGGCTACAGTCCTCTCTGTCCGATCATAAAAACTCTGGCTACAGTCCTCTCTGTCCGATCGTAAAAACTCTGGCTACAGTCCTCTCTGTCCGATCGTAAGAACTCTGGCTACAGTCCTCTCTGTCCGATCATAAGAACTCTGGCTACAGTCCTCTCTGCCCGATCGTAAGAACTCTGGCTACAGTCCTCTCTGTCCGATCATAAGAACTCAGGCTACAGTCCTCTCTGTCCGATCATAAGAACTCAGGCTACAGTCCTCTCTGCCCGATCGTAAGAACTCTGGCTACAGTCCTCTCTGTCCGATCATAAGAACTCAGGCTACAGTCCTCTCTGCCCGATCGTAAGAACTCTGGCTACAGTCCTCTCTGTCCGATCATAAGAACTCTGGCTACAGTCCTCTCTGCCCGACCATAAGAACTCTGGCTACAGTCCTCTCTGCCCGATCGTAAAAACTCTGGCTACAGTCCTCTCTGCCCGATCATAAGAACTCTGGCTACAGTCCTCTCTGCCTGATCGTAAAAACTCAGGCTACAGTCCTCTCTGCCCGACCATAAGAACTCTGGCTACAGTCCTCTCTGCCCGACCAT